GGAGACGTTGCCTAGAGTCTTTCAACAAGATTAATCACCTTTGAGAACCAATTAATAATTTATGTATTTCTTTTTTACTAACGATCTACTCATGGCACGACAACTTAATAGATACTATTTGAAACATCTCACTTTAATTCATTTTTCTTAGTGGCCCCACAGGTAAATTCTCAAGCTTTTTCCAGAAAGTTTATGTCAAACGATCTTGTTATGTCATTATTGTATTCAAAATATTGCCGTGTTATGAGGTTGTTTTGGTAACGTTATTGATGGCCATTATTGCTCGAATTTTACGAGGAAATCATCTTAACTTCTTTACTTCTTGGATGAAATCTGGAGAATTTAAGGTTATTCCCCGGTATTGCATTGCGCATCCCTACTGCGCATAATTTCACGCCTGATTGGTGCGCGCGCATTAAAAAATGGCGGCTTTTTCTTTACAGCTGGACCTCGCCATAGAGGTAAATCGTCATTTTCTCACAAACGAGTATGGCGACCTATCATTTTTTTTTCTGTTGTTTTGAGTTGAGTAATAAATTTCTCTGTGTAAAATAAATATGGACCAATTCTCAGTGCAGAACAAAAAGCAGTCATCGGAAACGTGAATTTAGCAAGCAATCGTGACTACAATCATGGTGCTGTTATAAGGATTTATATGGGTATAAACAAGGTGCTTTTGCTCCTAAAATTTTTATTTCAAAATTTAAGTTCCTATAATATAAACAATCAATAGGCAAAGTTTCACAAAAATCTCAGTGCAGGTTCTATTTCAGTGGAATGACCTTAAAAGAAAACTAACAGGGGAGTGATTCTCGTGGAAAACATTTCTCCCTGGATTACAATATAAAGCTGCAATAAACACTGATATTGAACTTGAAAAACAAGAGCAAATTGAACAAACGGATCTGTTCAGTTACATCAATGTGGAAAACTTGGAGAGAAACATAACCACAAATATTTCTCGACGTTTCTGCGAAATAGTGCTACCTCCAGGAAAACAGACTTAAAGTCCAAAAAAGTCGCCCATTTGGGGACTTATTTCATTTCACTCAGGTTTCGTTTATTTAAAATTACTTATAAATAGTATAATAAAAATACAGTTAGTTATTTCAGTTTCAATATTTCTTCTTCCCAACACGTTTCGATAATGTTATAAAGCTGGTGTAGTTTTTTTCTGAAACAAAATGGTTGAAGCAATTAACCAAACACAACAAAATCTACTAATAACACTGCTAAACCTGCTGTTTATCAATAAGATGAAGCTATTTAGAATAATACATATTTGAGGCTTCTTCCATTTGCCAAAGTTCGATCTATATTAAAAATTGAGTACACTATACACTGGTACTGAAAGGTTTTTAATTGGTTCGTTAAGTCATGCCCGTTAAGTTCGTTTCGCCTGTAAAATATTCGTACTCACTTTTTCACCCATAAAAGAGGGCTGGTTTGTAAAACAAAGTTTATAAAGTAGATTTATAAATGCTCAGAATTTTCTCGATTAAAAATCAATTATTGAAAGCGCTTAGCGCTTCCTCTGGTTTGAAGAGCGTTTTCGAAAAGCTCCGTTTTCGTGACGTATTAGTGTGGACGGTAGGCCTAACCGTAAAAATAAAACTGCGTTTTCAAATTTATGCGGCCTGAAAAGAGCGTATGTTGGACTCTTGTCCAGCCTTTATCATAATAATATGTGTGAATAGATTAAATTTATAACTCAACAAATTTTTTTTCGACAAATTCACATCGGGCTAATTAATTCTTCAACCAAACTTCAACCACCCTTCTGCATAGCTGGCAAAATTCATTAGTACTGGGTCAGGTCCTTCAAGTGATATTTTATAACAAAAAGAGGCATACTCGGGCACAAGATTGAAAAAGAGGAAAGAATCTTTTGCTGTGTCGGCAAATATTAATAAGTGAAGTTCTAAATTGTGACTCAGGCTGTGTTTTTCATGCAATTGCCTTGATCGCTAAAGGTTTGCGGAAAGTTTTCTTTTGAATTATTAAAAATATAAAAATGGAAAACTGTTAGCGTCGTTGACAAGTAAAAACAAAGCTGAGTACTTCGTGTGTTGAGGAAAACTGAAATTCACCCAGAGATGTGTCATTTTGTGGTTTTAACTCATTTAGCTTATATTTCTTTCGATTGGAACTATTTCTCAGTAAATTACAATAACACTTGCTGTTGTCGTCTGCTACTTTCAGAGATCTGAAAAGCTGATTTTTTTTTTCCCTGGAACAAAATATTGATCGAATTGACGAGTCCAAAGAGCCCGATCGCCTGTTGTTTTTCAACATAACTGATAAATTTAAACATATATTTGTGCCTTTCGGCTCCATTTGTGAAGTTTCGATGTGCAGTAAATGCAATGCATTATTTACCAGCGTTAAAAGATAGATAATTGTTTTATAATGTAGTGACCGTTGAATTTGCTCGGGTTATATTGGTATTTACTGGTTTATTCCTTCATCTGAGGTCTGATAAGATAGCACTGGCTTTCTTTGCAAAACGTAGTTAAAAAGGGAAGCGTCAAGATTCAATGTTCTTCTTTATGGAAATAACACTTAAGTGGTTTTAACTAACTCGACAACAGAAGGAGTGTTTATATAACGTAGTTTTTATTAAATAAGTAGGAATACATGGAAGCAAGCCTGAAATTCTCTGCTTAAAGTCATAGTTTTTGGCATCAGTGATTTAGAAAGAAGCTTGCTCTAGCGTTCAGCTTTATAACAGATCTTTGGACCGCAAGCTTCCAATTCAAAGCAACTCGCTTCAGTTTAGTTGATTCTATTGGCGAGCTGTGGAGAAACAGGAAGTCCTGCATAGTTCACTTTCTTCATTTATACTCATGAATTCGTTTTCGACGAATAAATCTAATCCGTTGACGTCACGTTTAACGAACATGAACAGATGGAAAAGACTTCAATTCTGTCTGTAGCCTTATGTTCAAACTGGAAAAACAAATACACCTTCCTGTAACATTGACTTTTGTGCAGTTTTAAAAAATTATGTCGTGTTTCGCAGGCCTCAGTAACAAAACTGAACTGTCCAGTTAAGATCGTTCTGCAGTGTTTATCCTGACCAATCCTGCTAGGTCTTGCAATAACTCAGAGAGCTAAAGATTTTGTCACTGCCGCCTTTTTTTTAGCGTGTCTCAAACTATGCTATAGACTAATTGATATCTTTATGGCAATTCGAAATATTTCAGTGTATTGCCCCAAAATGGGCGATAAACATGCTTAAAAACAGCTGCTCCAACGTGAATGTTTCCTGCCATAATTTGGTCAAGGGAAAAATCAAGTCTTGCTGTTTTCGTTTTAAACAGAGGCTGTATCCCTGAAGCGGAGGGAGGGAGACTTCCATATGAAAAGGTTGGGGATACTCGTCAAAACATTTGAAGTAAGCTCCTAAAGGAGACCAATTTGGACGTGTCTCGAGCGGCTTTATTTGACCTCTAAAAGATGTTACTCAAAACGAAGAAGGGTTGATTGTATCAAATTTTAGAAACCAGGGATTTCACGGCCAGTTTTGGAAATTTATTTATCTGCTGTTCGGGAAGGAGCACGGACTAGTAGACCGAACTCGAAAGCTAGCTAGAGAGCGGCGCAAATCGAGCCTAAAAACGGAAATGAGAGCGTTTTTTAATTGTTTTCTTTACGAGCGCAGCCTAAAAGACACATGACAGTTAAAACTAGTGGCATTTCGCCCTGAACACTCCAAGTGAGACCAAAATCCTTGATTTACACCCCAAAGTGAGACGACGAACATCCACGACCATTTGCCATAGGAGTGCCCTGTAGCTCTATGTGTATCCTTGATGGAAATACAGCTGGAAAGTTTATGCGGCCCGTTTTGCTACTGCAGCTATGTATTCAACTCTGCACTTTGTAATTGAAACTGAAGATGACAGAAGATTCTGTTGAAACATGTTTTAAAAAAACGTTGTGTTGTTTCTAAAAATTTTCACTATAAAGTCTAAATGCACGAAAATTCTAGTTTAACACTTATAAGACTTCTAAAACCGTATAAAGTTTGTTCTTTTTCTTTCCACCAAAAGCTTGTGCTATGTTATAGACAGTGAACATTGTGTTTCTGCGAAAAAACATGAAAATTTTGTTGTCAGTTTTTGTTTTCCTATATAAATTTAGAGCATTTTCCGTGAGTAGTTACATCAGCATGTTATACACGAAAAGCTAATGGTTTTTAGGACGAGTAAGTGCAAATCTCTAGCTACTAAATCCCTTTTGGTTAATACTAGGAGAGGCATACTCAGTAAAAACCTGTTTTGCCCACCTTCTCTTCAGTTGTTCCTTTTGGCCATGAGCTCTTGTCAAAAGTCAAACACAGCTAAACGGAGAGAAGCTTTTGAATTTTCAGTGGACCAGTCCGTCTACTTAGTGGCAGGTGGCTGCAATATGATGCTCTTGGTTACCTATTTTACAGACACAATATTTCTGATGGATAATGGATTGTTGGATAGCATGATCATCTATTGAAATTTCAATAACAATAGCTAATGGTAAAATGTCTTGATGGTAAATTAACAGGTTTCTTGCTGGCTTCGATCCCCTTACATGTAACCCAACATACATTATATAATTACTTGCAAATAATTCGGACTGTTTTAATTTCGGACAAAAAAGTGTCCAAAAGTAAAACCGTCCAAAATTTTTACAGAACAGTTTAACACTTTTAAGTAGCTCTAAGGCCATCAGCTTCTTTTATGGAGCGAGCTCTGATCTAGTTGAGACACTACCTAGGGGACCGAAGATACATAACGGACTGATAGAATTTTTCTTATTTTCCCGTCGGTATATCTGTTAAGCCAAAGCTATCATTTAAACAGATGTTGTTTCAGTCTAAAACGTGTTTTGTACCGTAAATTTACGGTAACTATGTTTCAGCAAAGACAGCGTCCGAAATTTTCATTTTTTCATAATTTTTTTTGTGTAGGTTCGCAAGTATTCTTGGGATATGGCAATGGTACAACTCCCAGAGTCCTTTGGCGTTTCTCCTGTCAAGAAGACTTTGCCGGCAAAATGGCGGAGTTACACGTGTATTTTATTTCAGCTCTGGTTTTGTCTTGCTGTTTACAAATTTTAGCGGGGTATGCGAGTCTCTCTTTTCTTTGGTTGCGATAATATTTAGTTCTTACACCTGTAATATTTTTGTTTGTTTAATCCAGGAGGGATTTTTATACCATCTTGGGCGTCCCTCGAGACGCAAGCAAGAATCAGGTGAAGCGAGCGTACAGAAAGTTAGCGATGAAATGGCACCCGGATAAGAACAAGGACGATCCTAAAGCTCAAGAAAGATTTCAAGATTTGAGTGCTGCATACGAGGTGTGTTTATTCATAACAATTTCAAGGCAATACTGCGAGCAGACATGCTTTGAAATCCTTGAAATTATGAATAATTAAGCTAAACTTGAGGTTTCAAAACTTGCTTGTTCTGTGGCTGGTAGCTATAAGCTTAATTCAGCGTAAATTCGGTACTTAGAAAAATTAGGTGAACTTGCAGAAAATTTTCAAACTCCATTTTGTTGCTCTAAATTAGTCCTACGTCAAGCCCATTAATTTTTCTACATAAGCCATGTGCAGAATTAGAAAGTTTATGCACGCACGGAATCAACTGAGCTAAGCTTACGTCTTCGACTTCAACTAAACTAATTACAGTCTCCCCTTGCAGAACTATTAACCCAGAACCGAGAGCTAAGGGCACTGTCTAATTTGACTACAGCTTTAAGACCGTCACATTTAATTGAGAACTTTCTTCCCATCGGAAATTTTTTAGCACGGGATTTGTTCGATTCATCTTTCCTTTCGAACTTCACAATCTGTGTAACTTTTATTTCCGGACCAAATTAACAGTCATAAACTTTCTGTAGCGCGTTATTAATTTCGATTTGAAAGCAAATTTGTTTTAGTTGCGAGGCATTTGTCAGTTTTATGAGGACGTGTTTTTAAAACTAAGCTGAGTTTTGTGTATTATGTAAATCAGTCGTTGTGTCCGTTGGTGATTGGTTAGTTTCACTGCGTTATAAGTAAATACAGGCTTCAGAAACATATTTTCAAAACACGCACTATTTCTTCAAGTACCACAGTGTGTTAAAAAGAGAAGTTCCAGATTTCAGATCAAATTTTCATTCTTGCTTCTCTTTTACACTGATGCAAGAACTGTAGAATTGCTAATTGAAGTGGATATCTTGTTTCTGGGTGCAACGAAAATGAAATTTAGATCTTACTTATCCCAAAGATGACTCTCATTAAAATTATATGAAGAAACTTTTTCCAAACATAAGCTTTGCTAGTGAAAAGCAGCAAGACCTGGGAACACAACGACATTAATAACTAAAAAAAATTGGCCAATTTTAATCTTGGACAGTGTTTGAAAAAAGAACCATTCGCAATTTTTAAGCATCCAAAATTCTAAGAATTTGAAATATTTTCAGTACAGTAAAAAACGTTTAAGTAGCTGTAAAGTTCTTGGTTTCCTTTAACTCTAGTTGAAACACTTCTTGAGATACGCAATGGTTTGATAGAATTTGTGTTTTCTTCTCGTCGGTGTATCATAAAAACCTTGAGTGTGCCGTAAAAGTAAGATTTTCACAGATATCGTTTCAGTCTAAAATTATTTGTGTTTTGCAGGTGAAATTTACATTAGAAATTTGTCTGAAATGAGATAAAACAAGTCTAAAAATTAAACGGTCGAAATAAAACCTCAGAAATTTTTTGCAAGTATTGTAGCCCTTGACACAGACTGCAAATCTATTAAGAGTTCAAAACCAGCTGTCTACTCCAAACATAACACTACCTACTTTAAAACGTCTTGTCTGATGTTAATGGACTACCTGCCTGGGCTCTGCAAAAACATCGACCTCTGTACAGGGCTGTTATTGAGTCACCTGTTGTTACCTTGATCTTCACTCCCATCCTGTTGCTTTATGGGTGAATTGTATCAACAACATGCAAGTTCACCCGTAATATCAAGGGCCTATGCAGCATAGTCGGCCTTAACAGGTTTAATGGGTTACAATCCTGTCCTTATGTGTTTTTTTTTTGTGTGACAGTACTGACAAAGTATTTTGAAGTATTGTGAAGTATTTTGCTCAGAGACCTTATTTACGCACAAAGCATGTGTTTATACGCATAACAAAAACTTCTGTAGGATATGCAAACATAGGGCCTGTTAATGTCGTTGGGATGTACAGAATTAAGTTTCAGTCTAACTCAAATGAAAAAAAAAATTAGTGGAAGAAAATATGAAAGAAAAGTTACCACATTGTATGAAAACAATCTTACCCTAAAGGGCATAACTTTAATCCAAGAAAAGGAAAGTCAGTGAGTAAAGATGCTGGATAGTAAAACTGAATAAACATATCAAGGATTCAACATGGTGGCCAAATTAGATCGCTACCAGACTACCTCTCTTTCTATTGTGCAAGGGTTACAATGTAAAAGCCTTTCAATGAATAATGGCACCAAAAAGGACTTATTTTCTCAAACAGTCAATTTATAAGGGTGTTGTAAAAATTGTGCGGAATCCCTGCAATTTCGAAGCAGAGGGGCCCAGGACTTTTTTGCAAAACGTCCTATAAACACTGATTGTGCTTTTCCTCCTTAAGGTTTTAGCTGATGATGAGAAAAGAAAAGTATATGACAGACATGGTGAAGAAGGACTCAAGAACATGCACCAGGGTGGTGGTGGCGATCCTTTTGATCCATTTTCAAGGTACAATTTTTGTTGTTATTTTAGTAGTTTGCTGTGTGAAAAATGAATCTGCATGATTCTGTGCCATTCTGCACTCAATTAACTGTTTGCCAGGACCTGGGTTCAGGATGGAGAATCTATATGTAGGATGACTGGAAATTCTCATGAGGAAAATATTATGAAAAACAGTCAGTGCTTTCAATATGATTTTATTCCCTACACCTGTCAGACAGCAATAACAACATGCCAATGTTTGAAAACTACTAACATCATAGTTGGCACCTCAAACTTACAGTGAACAGAACACTGCTGTGACAGCCGACAATAATTTGTAACTAAAGATTCATTTCTGACAATGCAATGCCCTTGTGTTCTCTTGATTTTTTTGTCACAATTTCAATTGTCACCACAGAAGCAAAAAAACAAACAAAAAAAAGAATCTGTTTGAGTATTTTGCAAATTGAGAATTAGGAAATTCTGGAGGGCAAATTTAGGCCAGGCAAGATTATTATGGTATATGGTGACCTTGACCAGCAGACAAATTTGAATGAGAACAAAATAGATGTGAGTCTAGATCCCCTTTTGAATTAGAGTCCTGTTTGGAGAACTTGTAGTAACTATATCAAATAGATTCCATGTTGCCATACGTCTGTTCAGTATTTGATTACAGATCGTGAACAGACCCATGGCAACATGGAACCTATCTGTTTTGTGTAATAAAAAAACTAAAAAACCAAATGCTAATCATGTCATCTATACATCTGCCCCCCAATTGATCATAAGTAAGAACCAGTCAAAATGTGAGTATAATTTGACTTGTTATATAATTACTGATTGACTAATATTGTTCTTGTGAATGATGATATTTCTTTGCTCTGAAAACATGAACAGTGATATCAATACCAGTGATTAATAGCAAGTTGGTGATCTTCTCTTGTTTTTTTCCTTTTAGTTTCTTTGGAGGGTTTGGATTTAATTTTGAATCAGGGCATTCACATCATAGAGAGGTTCCTCGTGGTAGTGATATTCAAATGGATCTAGAGGTCACATTAGAAGAACTTTATAATGGAAATTTCATAGAGGTGAGCTTGAATTACAAAAACAGCATTGTTCCTTTAATTAGTTAGCAAACAGAGAGGTAAAGTGAACTGATAGTATTAGTGCCTTGGACTACAGATCAAGATTTCAAGATCAGTTGTTCATTGGTAATATTGACTAGAAAAGTATAACTCTATTTGTAGCTTGTGTGAAAATTTTTGGCTTGCGTCCGCAGGTGCTACGCTTCAAACCAGTTGCTGAGACAGTTCCTGGCACAAGACAATGCAACTGTCGGCAAGAAATGAGAACAACACAGTTGGGTCCAGGCAGATTTCAGATGTCGCCTGTTGATGTCTGTGATGAGTGTCCTGCAGTCAATTATGTAACAAAGGAAAAACTTTTGGAGGTTGAAGTAGAACCTGGAATGAGAGACGGGCAAGAATATCCATTTATCGCGGAGGGTATGGAGATATTTTTATTTTTCATGAAAAAGTGTGCCTTAAGGAACTGTGTGAGAAATGCTGAATTGTTTGGTGAAAATTATTTTGACTCATCAGTTTTTAGATGTAATTTTGAGACCTACCTTTTCACGTCTATCTCATTTCCAATTACATGTACATCACATTTTCTGTTGAAAATATTTTCCTTCAATCTGCACAAAGTAATCGTTTTGTGAGGTGGTTTTGTACACATAAGCAAATTCATAAACGTTGGAGATCATGGGGTTGTTCTCAAGACATGCATCTGTCAAGATGAATTAAACCTTGTCAGGTATAGAACAGCGTTGTAAGTTTATTCAATCTTTGTTTTCATTGTTATTTTGATCAGAATGGTTGTTGTTCCTTTTTTGATAGGTGAACCACACATTGACGGTGAACCTGGTGATTTGAAGTTCATTATCAAAGAATTGCGGTACTGTAGTGTTGACTTGAAAGTTTCATTATTACCTTGGTAGTGTTAGCAACACTTATTATTGCTTCTTTGCTTCAACAGGCACGAGAGGTTTCGTAGAAGAGGAGATGACCTTTATACAAATGTGACTGTAGCTTTAGTTGATGCCTTAAATGGATTTGAAATGGATATAGATCACCTGGATGGGCACAAGGTTAGAAGTGGGGCTAGTTTTGCAGATGATGTGCTGGTAAAATGGTAATTGTGAATTACAGCTGTCTGAAAGAACTATTGGTTGACTGTCAGTCTCGGCTGACAGTACTGTTGTTGGTATTTAATGCTTACGAGGTTTTGCTGTCCATCTTTTGCCACACTGTACAACCAGACCTGGCTTGCACAGTCAGTTTACCCATCATAAACATGGCCATTTCCAAACTGTTTTTGAAGTATTATATCAATCACGAAAGACTGTGTTCAACCACATTTCTAACATCGAGAAGAGAGTTAAAAATTTCGAAGTGTTTTTGACAAACTTTGAAGTGTTTGATATATCTTCTCAAACAAAACTAAAACTAAAGAGAAAACAGAAAAAAGTATAAACGGGAGAAATCTATGCTAATTAAGACTGGATATCAAAACATCATCATGGTTATGGTTTCTTTGGTTCAAACTTGATGAATTATTAGAGTTTGAGACAGTGAACTCAAGACTGCTATGAATTATGGTCATCTAAATTCAAGGATTTCATTGACGTTTTCAGTAGAAGGGCAACTGGTTTTCACAGGTGGGCAAAACTTTTCAACTGGACATCTTTATAAGAAAAACTTTCCTCTAGATGGTCAAACCAGGCAGGTAAAATTGTCCTCACAGTTGGTCAATTTGCCTGCTGGTGCCTGGCCTTTTTTGAAACCCCCGCTAAATTACATTATGAAGTGGTTACACTAACAGAGCTGTTTTTCACCGTCAGGTTCATATAGTGCGGGAAAAAATCACTTGGCCAGGAGCCCGCATAAAAAAGAAAGAGGAGGGAATGCCAAATTATGACAACAATCATGTTAAAGGAGATCTTTATATTACATTTGATGTTGAATTTCCCCGAGGTGGCCTATCAGATAGTGAAAAAGATGGTAGGTTGTGGTTTGTTCTAAGAAACAAGCAAATGTCTAATTCATTTACTCTATTAATGCCTATTAGAAAATAGTTCAAAGAAAATATGCACGCTGATTGGTTAAAAGTTGTGTTTCTGTAACTCAATAGAAGCACAGAACTAGCACGAGTTGTTGACGTTATGATGGCTTGCACAAAGAGAATATACATTTTGACAATCAAAGTAAACAAGTGGTTTCCTTTTTTCATTGCAGTATTTCTGTAAGAAATGGAAAACATGTTCTCAGTGTTTCTTTTGAGTTATTTCTCTCTCAGTGGTCCCATCAAGTTATAGAAACACTGACTCATGAAAGTTTGGGAGAACTTGAAAAAGCTGCGGAAACACTCGCCTGTCGGCTTGTTTTCCCACAGCATTTCTTGTTCAAACTTCCACTTGTGTTTTTATAACTCGATAGAAACACTGAGCATGTTTTCTGTTTTCTTAAATAATGCTTTTAATTTTTGTTTATTAATAAGTTGGATAATTAACTGAATGTAAATTCTAAATTTTGTGTGTACATTGGTAGATTTAGTACTAATAAATATTTTTTTCTCACCTTTTTCAGCTCTAAAAAATATCTTGAAGCAAGAGTCCCAACAGAAAGCTTACAATGGACTCTAGTTAATCATTTAAAGATATTTCAATTGTCTTTCAATTTAGGTAGTGTAATGTATTTTCCAGTTCTCTGATACCTTATAAAGAAGCTTTTAAATGTAAAAAAATATAAAATTTTCATTCCAATGTCACCTGGAATTTGACAGGATAGCAGTGATGCACAAGAAGGTGACAAGTTTGTTCGGCTCTTTTCTTTTTGTGGTTTTAGCTTCACTCATTTGTGATATCCTGCATACCTCATAAACTAACCTTCCCATGAACAGTTTCAGTGGAGAAAATTCTTCCATGTACTACAAGTAAACCACATAAAATTAATAATGTTTGAGGCACATGCGATGTCTGCATTTACAAGTAACTGGAGATGCTTGTTGTAGCTTGAGGTCTCCATATTTGGCTGATAGTTGTTGAGCTGACTATCAAAGTTGATAGAACGCTGGGGTGACTGTAGGGTTTTGCTATTCACCTGACTCTTTTGCAAAAGATGGCAAGATCAGCTACCTACACTAACAACAACAATGTCTACTGAGCACTTCAACACTCTGTGACAACCCCAAGTATTAAGTCAATATAAACCTGATGTGACCAAATTACTCACAAGCCAGTGGCTGGTTCATTAAAAGTAAACATTGAAGGCACACACACATACATTCAAAAACAAATCAAGGACACAATCTAGTCCTTCAGTCGATCAATGTCAAACATTTGCAGTGCCAATTACATTGAGATTACCATTAGTCAGCAACTGGATAATGTTAGGAGTGTTTAGTTTGTTGGACATTTACAGAAGTTTATTGAAATGTTTTTATGGGACAAATTATTTGCAAAATTTGGACATACATGGGTGGGTACTGCTGCTGCGGCCCAAGAAAAGCACTGACAGCACCTGCCTTGTGATACCTGTAAATAAAGACAAATTTTAGAGGGAAAGCATGTTTGAAAATAACTCATTTCTACTCTCAGTGCTGGTGTTCAGTTGTGAAAACAGTAATAAAAATATTTGCTGGCACTTTGCCCCCACTGTTGTGTTAAACAGTCTGCTTACAAGCCAAGTGGCACATTAAGCTGGCGCTTATTTCCAGTTTCTGTAGCATGAATCGACTAGGAGTATTTCTACTTCCCCTGGATGGGATGCTTGTCCGTCGCAGGGTTTCCTCCAGCATTAAATTTGCGGGTACCTATTTGTACACCTGGGTGGAGAGTGGCACTGTGAGAGTAATGTGTCTTGCCCAAGGATACAACACAATGTCCCCGGCCAGGGCTCAAACCCAGACTGCTTGAATGATCTGGAGTAGAGTGCACTAACCATGAGGCCACTGCACCTCCATGCTGCTGTGTTAATTAAAAAATAAATAACCCTAAGCTGTGTATTACACTGTGATAAAACATGACAGGCATTTGAGAACACGAGGGAAATGTAGCAAACACGAGCCGCTGGCGAGTGGTTTCTACATTAATTTTCTTGAGTGTTCTCAAAGGTCTGGAGTGTTTTATCCCAGTGTAATACACGGCTTAGGCCTCTTTATTTGCCTTATGAAAAAGAGGTAATGTGGCGAAAATCAAGAAAACACACTTTTGCTATGTTATACTCTGATAAAACATGGGTTTTTGACCAATCAGAGTGTGTGCAAGGTCTTGTCTATACTAAAAAGTWATTAAGGGTGCAGAGGTTTCARGTTGTTTACGGGCATCCTAGCTTACCTGGGAGGGTGATAGCACTGGACACTAATAATACTAATCCATCTTAAAATTAATGAAGACTTGTTTTGATAGTTAAGCTCTGACTACAATAATTGATTTCCATTCCCAGTATATGGAAAACAACTCACCAATGTTACTGTACATCACTAAAAAGGTGGCCGTGTTGATGAGTTAACGGGTAGGGGAATGTCTAAGGAAAGTCATGTCTGACAGCCCAGGGAAGTTGCAGTTGAGCTAGTGAATTGTCCTTCATTTGCCCAATGGGCAAGAGCAGTTTCTTTGGAAAAGTTTTAAGGAAACTCAAATAATATCATTGAAGTTCATATACTATAAGAGAAGAATTTTTTGGGGGGGGGGGAGGAGGGGTAATCAGCAGGGTTGTGTACATTATACTTTCTTTCATTGACAGAGTACTTTATTGTATCAAATTTCAAAATTAAGCATTACAACAAGAATGTTTCTACAAAAGGGTACTTGATTATTACCTCTGAAATGACTACATTTATTTATCAAGAAATACAATTTGTTACCAACAAATCATGAGATATGTTACCGACAGACCATGCAGACACCGATTATCTCTTGTATAAAACAAAATTAACTTACTAATGAAAAACTAAAAACAACTGAGCAGAGGCCATGCCATCCCCCAAAATAATTTACAAACATAATTTATAACTACCCAATGGTACATAATTTAACTTTGGGCTCCCAATTACTTTATCCAAATAATTTATCATGAATTATCCATAATTATTTGAAATAATTTTACAAGAACTTGTCTCTTCTATACAGAAAGCAAACTTTAATGCCTTTTAAAAGACAAGAACTTTTTTCCAGCAGAGCTCAGATCAGACTTCCAAACTATGTAGTATTCCCTATCATGTTTGCTCTTTTAATGATTAATAACATGATCACTTTGTCAAAAATTATCTTGAAATTTGATTTTGATCTTCACTACAAACTTCTGCTCTTCAAAGCATTACATGTGTATTATTTAAAGCAAATAGCTTTCTAAGACAGGTAACTGTTGATAATATCCATGAAATTTGCATGCTTTTGACTGCAAATGTCTTGCTAGATGGTGTGTTTTATTGTCAGTCTGTTTTCCACTTGCTTACAACAGAGGAACAACAGAGAAAAGGTGTTCTGGTGAAATAAAGAGGTTGAGAAGAGAAGATGGCAATTCCAATTTATTATCATTTACGTGATCAGAACAGCCACAAACCATAAAACCAATCATAGTTTTTAAAAACTGAGATTGTACTCTACCTTACAGATTGTTTTTGAAAACTAGAAGATTCAAACAAGAAATGCCACTCATTTTTAACCTGTGCAAAATGCTCCTTCCAAATTGTACTTCTCATTTCTAATTGTCTCTGCTATTAAAAAATAACTCTCCCTCTATAAAAATATTGCCTGAGAAAAGCCACCTTAAAAAACATTACTTAAACTGAAAGATCTGTTTTGTTTGTCCTTTTAAAACTTAACTGTGTTCGTTAACTGTTTATACTAATGAAATGTTCCTTAGCAGCTGTTTGGTTGACGGAACAGCTTTAGTATGTTTACAAGCGGAAACATGACCAGAGCCCCAATACATGATCCTGTCTGTATAAAGATTCCACACCAAAACAGGGCCTGTCTACCATGGTCACGCATTATGATTGAGATTATTAGTTTCGTGTAGTTCAGCAAAATGCTACTGACAACACTAACAGCAATCTGCAATCACAAAATAAAGAAACATCAATTTGGTTAATAAAAGTAGAAACAAGCTCCTCCATTCTTAAAGTCCTACAATTATAATACCACCCCTCCCCTTTTTAAAAGAGAGTGCCCCCTGGGACTTGAACTCCCTAGATCTAGTACAGAGAATGTCTCTCCTCAAAAAAAAGTCACTGTACCTAATATGAAATTATGATACTACGAGATTCCTTCTACTGCAAGGAAAAGAGAGATTCTTCTTACTAAGCTATACTTACTACTATGAAGCTTCCAAGTGCTGTACCATGTAGAGGTGGAGTAGGACTCATGGATGCGAGAGCAATGACATAACTGCTTAGAATTGTGAAAACACTGGTTAACACAATGACCACCTTGGTTGATGAGCATGGTAACCACAGTGCGACGAAACAGGTCAAAGCCCCTGCAATGTTGGATAGTGTGGCAACTGTGGATTAAATTTGATTGATAGGTGTCAGTACAAAAGTAAACTGCAGTGAACAACGTTTCCAAGGCATCAAAAATACAACACGAAACAGAGTGTTTTTGATAAATTTTAAGCAAATAGTTAATGGTAGACAATTTGCCCAGGGAGGTGCGTGGTTTAGTGGTCTGCATGCTGGGATATATATGGATCAAGTAGTCAAGGTTTGCACCCTGGTCTGCCATTGTGTTTTTGGCATAGATACTTTACTGTGCCATGGCCTCTCTCCACTCAGGTGTATAAATGGGTAATGACAAATTTGATGCTGGGGGGTGGGGGAACCCTATGACGGAACTGCATCCCATCCAGGGGGAAGTAGAAATACTTGTCTAGAGTCCCTTCATGTGATGGAACATTTATACCTTACACCATTTGTCCCCATAATTTGTGCTCCCCCACCCCTCCCCCCCCCNCCACCCGTCCCCCCCCCAAAAAAGAGAAAATGTTGAGAAAATATGCCACTTGCTTTTAAGAAGCTTTGCCATTATCCCAGGATGCATCCTATGTACATCTTATACACACACACACTAAAGATACCTCAAAGTTTTCAAAATTTTTCTCCTCTGGACAAATTCCAAAAAGCAGCTTGTCACACATGCTGGACATTTCTTAAGCTGTGTAATTTTTTATTCCTTCACAAAAATACTCATTTTTCCCAGGGTATGCCAATTCTCCTGGATTATTCAGGAGAGTCTTAAATGGGAACTTTTTTGCGGCAATTTTTGATGTCTATAGAGTATATAATGTGTAGGTCCAGAAAATATCCACACCTCCCTCATGGAGGGGAATTTTTCTAAGTCCCCCCCACCCCTCTGGAAATTCCAATTGAGCTTCATACATTTCTTTAAATTTTTTGGTCTTACAGAACCCCGACCCCCCAGGAAATTCCAATCCCTTCTTTGAAGGGAGTTAGATATTTTCTGGAACTGAACAATCCAAAATTGCCACAACATATTATGCTGTAGGTCAATTTGGTCTTTAAGAGATTGGGCCTACAAGAACCCCTCTCCCTCCCTATTAGAATTTATAGTAACCCTCAGTAAGGCAACTGTGGGATATTCCTGAAGACACACATTTAAATTTTTTCCCCTTGGCATCAGGAAAACCCTCTAAAAGATTAAAAAGAGTCTTTTACCTAAATGATATGTCTTATCACCATAAGGCTCACTGGCATACGTTGCTATTGACGGCAGTACACCGTTGGACAAGCAGTTAATCCAACCTTGAATACACAACAGACATAAAATGTGAGCTTCACACCAGGAGAATTTCTGACTGCAATTTGGTGTATCCTTCATGTAAAAATCTTCAGGAGTACTGGTGCTTGTTGATGAAGAATATATGACGCTTCTTGAAGATTCATCCCAAAGTGGCCGAGTTACACTGTTACTTTCCTCCACAGTTGTACCGCTGCGCCTTTCTCTCACATGCTGTCTTCTAGCCAATGGTAAATAGTTCAATGCAAAAAAAGCCAACCCACAAGCAACCATCATTGCAAACAGAAAAAAGAAAAAATCCTTTGGGGAGAACCTTAATCCACTGTCATCATCCTTTGTGGTTTGATTGCCAGAAGAAGCGTCTGTCGCATTTGCGCTACAGTTAACACTTTTACTGTTAATTCCCTGACCCAAGGCTACAAAAGCTGGAAGCAATCCACTGCTTGTTTCACCCACAAACAAGGCACTCATGTAGAACGAAGGGAAGATAGACATGAAAGTAAGGAAAACAACAGACGATGTACAATCGACTATGGCCACGCAAAACGACAGTATAAAAAGAACTGTGCTGTGTTTCTCACCGCCAATGTTACTTGTTTCGTCCCAGAAAAATGCCAACAAGGCACAAGCCACGGCGCCTACAGTGACAACGAAAAAGATGGTACATTTTTCCTGGACTTTTTTAGGAGCAAAGTGGTTCCCCAGCGCGTAGATCACCGGGCCGATATTTGCCAGCTGGAATATAACGGTGAGGTAGGATGGGAGATTCCATTGTTCAGGGGCATATCTCACTATAACTGGCAATTCTACCCAAAGACCATTGACAGCTATCCACGAACCCATACCGAACAAACAAATCAGCACGTAAGTTGGCCAGGAAATGTCGCTCGTTTGACAAAATGCCTTCCAGCGTGAGACTCGTGTAGAAGTTTCCGGAGTATCCATCTCGGAATCAAATCGAATTTTAACCTTAATTTGTCGGCCCAAAACGTTACATAATCAACAACCGAAGGACTTCACTCTCCATTATTTTTTTTTGTTTTTTTGATCGCACGAAAATACAGCGGTCTTACTGGTAAAGGATTATCCTGTTATGTTAGGTGCCCGAAATGACTCCCATGCATCATTGTACCCTGAAGGCGGACCACAGCAGTGCAAGTCCCATTTTTCTTCTCCCACATTCACTGTAAAAAAAAAAAAAAAACCTTTATTCAACGGACACCTCTATTAAGCGGATGCGGACACCTTAAACTTGACTTTTATGGTCATTTCTATTGTTAGAAATCTATTTCAAACGGACACTGCAAAAAGAGTGCATGACTTTTTTTGTCCATGTTTTAGTAGATCGGTCATTTAAGTTTGCCAACAAACTGAGCTGCCACAGAAATACAATATTTTGTTATTCGGTTTTGTTTTTACAGGACTTTTGTTCTTGTTTGATTTAGTAAACCTTCACATGATTCGATCAATATTAATACTGTTACTGTATACTTAAATCCCTTCTTCGACCATCCCCGAGAATGCTATTTGACCCTTTCAAGGTCTTGACAAATATTAATGTGACCCTTAAAAGACGAATTCTGAGGGAAACTGTTTTCAACGGGCACCCTCTATTAACAGGACACTAGCACGGGTCCCGAGGGTGTCCGCCTAATACAGGTTTGACTGTAAAACAAAAAACAAACAGCGGTGATAAACATCTTAAAAACATGCATTTTATAAACTTGACGTTTCGTGTGCTAGGCATGGGGACGAGAAGACATTACGTAACGTGCACTTTTGAGGAAATATTCATCATTTTTTCGTCGAAAATCAAGATATCATTATACCTTGGTCTACCACCATTTTCTCAGACTAGTATTGAAAGAAATCAGGAGACTCGAACGACTTAATATTTAAGTCCTTAGAAACTACTCTTTCTGAAAGTAAGTCTAGGCTAGAATAGTAAACTACTAGCCTGTAAACAAGCTCTCACCCCATTGCCCCCTCGGCCACTCCACTCTCAACCAATTCTTTCTCGGCCCTTCCAGCCGCAGCCTGTTCAAAGGCTAATTAATAGTAAACTTCTCTTAGATGCCGTGTACATCTGAATAACATTTGACTATCTTGACTGAGCGACGGCACAGTTCATCAAATCTTTTAACGAAATACTCATGCTGATCTTGTGTAAGAAACTAGTTGGGATGACTGTTAAACTGTGGCGAAGGTATTTCTTTTCCCAAAATGACCTCAAGCCAACCGAAAGAGACGGCGCCTCCCCTCATAGTTCGGTATCTAAATATTTATATTTCCCGTTGAGGAGAGCGGAAATTTCCGCCATTCCGTTCCAAACGGAAAAAGAGGAGTACCTTTGGAGAACAATTTTCCATTTGTCTTTAACCGAAGTTTCCATATTTTTGCCGTAATATAGTAAGCATACTTTATCTGAATTTCGTCTTTCTTTGCATCAAGTCAAATCACAGTAGATTTGTTTTACGACGACTGCCGTCAAAACAAAACCATAAGAAATTGTAATGACCAATCACAACAAACGCAAATTAAAGTCGGCTAATCGCATTTCAAAGAAAAACGAGTGCACGTTTGCACGTTGGCTTGCGCGGGAAAACATGTAACGCGTGCTAAGCGCGAGAAAAATGTAGCGCGTTGGAAAACATTAAACAGGAAAAAAGAGCGAGCAAAAGCGCGAAAATGCACCGCGCGTTTGTTTTAACAGGCCATTTTACAGTTGTGTGCTTAGTTACCTGGCCTATGACTGCAAACGAGGCTGGAGGTAACCTTGCTTTGATACAGACCTCTCTGCTTTTCTCATGTAAATGCAAACTAGTTAGCATGAGAACAACTTGACTTACACAACAAAAACAGTAAGGTCTGGATCAAAACAAGGTCACCTATAGCCTCGCTGCCATTCAAAGGCCAGGTCACTCAACAGACAAATGTAAAATGGTCTATTCGCTGAGCACAAAATAACTATTCAAAACTGATTAGAGTCAATCGAACAAAAAGAATACTCAATAAATTGACGGCTACTTCTGTTTTTTAATTTTCTTAGTACACATAATTTTACACAGCCAGTCATCAAAATTCTTTAAAAACTAAACATAAATGCTTTCATCTCGCTATCTTCTGCTCTCTTCGTTTAGATTAAGGTGGAATCTCAGTTCTGTTCTGTTTTCGTACAGCCTCGTTTCCAAGGTCTACCTTCACGGAAACGAGGCTCTCTTTACTGGCGAAGTTACTTGTCATTTTTGACGGGATACACATACTCAACAACTTCCTCTCCCTTAGAATGCGCATCAATATCTACAATTGGAACTAAACAGGGCACAGTGAGTATTAAAATCTGCTAAACAACAGAGATTATAGTAGGAAAAAAAAACTAAAACTTGTGAAAGAAGATTCAAACTGCAAGGTGCAGCCAAATATAGACACCCCTAGCATGTTTATACGGACACCGGGAATTACTGTTATATCTACGGAATTCCCCCATCTCCCCGTAGAAGCGACCGGCCCTTAGGGGTCAAAGCCAGGCCGAAAACTCTTCAAAAAGCTAGATACGCCACTTCGGTCAGGAAGACAAGGCGATCCAAAATCAGATTCTCCCGAGGGGAATAGAGGAAAATGGTTTATCTTGAAGACTAACAAAGAAAACTTACTTTTCTGAGGCGATGTTGATCGGGACCTGCTTCCGTGCCGTCTGCATAATAAATGCAAGAAGTAGTTTGAATAAATTAGTCACAAAAATTAAATTAAAACACAGCACACAATTCGACGGACGGGAATGGAAAGGAACCTTGAAAACGTGTCTGAACTATACAGGAAACTCAACAAAACACAAACTTATAAACGCGAAACTCGCGTTTTCGAGTTTCGTTCGGACTTCGTTGAACGTTCGTCAAAAAATCTTGACGCCACAGGAATTCCTCAACAGAAATTGCTCCATTTAGATGGGGTACATTAAGCCTTAGTTCCAATAAATCGAGAACTATCTTGCGAAAAAGCCAGTCTATGAATAAATCCTAGTAATTGACCATTCAAATAAAAGCAATTGAGTAGAACTTTCATGTGGCACTGTTTATTATGCCGTACAAGGTGGTTCTATCCTTTTTAACGCAACTTTTCAAACATTTCTTGAAGGCTTTGATTCCTGCGAAGGAGACTACAGGTCAGCACGAGAAATACTTACCGTCGCGGTGGGGATCGTGACACACTTCTACGTCTCCCTGTAAATAGAAAGAGTGTATATGTGAGGTCATACGACAATCAGACAGACCACAAGCTACCCATCTGTCTACTATGCTGTACAAGGTGGTTCTAATTTTGCCTCTGTGTACGAAACCCTAGTGTGTGACCATTCAAATGAAAGGTATTGCGCAGTAAATTCATGTGGTTCTGTTTATTACGCTGCACAAGGTGGTTCTAACTTTTAAGTTAGTGGATGAAACCCTACTGTGAGCATTCAAATGAAAGCTATTGAGCAGTACTTTAATTATATTTGCCAACAGTTACTCTATTGATTTACCTCTCGGAGAAGACGAACGACTTCTGTCATATCTGTCTCTTTCCCTGTCCCTGAAAAAGACAAAAAAGAGTTTCTTGAGTTCAGTACTAGTCTGCAACCACTAGCGTGAAAGAAGCACTTCTTCTTCTGTGAGAATTCTCTTTCGAGAATTGACTGAGCCGGCGAGTTCAGATAAGAACTTTCGGATTAGAATGCTCGAGCTAAATAGCCCATAATGATCGGAACGCTTCGAAAAATCTTCGGCACTCACCTTTCACGCCATTTTCGCTGCATCTCCCGAAGATCGTCCTCTCGTTCCTTAAACATAAAGATAACTTGCGATAAAACGTTTCATTTTTGCAGCTCCACAGAAAAGTATAAAAACTGTTTGTACAGGCCTTAGCATGATTCAGTTTTCGTTTCACCACGGCTCATGTCAGACATTGAAAGTTCTCCCGGACATTCTTGTCCAAAAACACGACAACGACACAAAAATGGGCAATAAAATAATAAGTTGTACCCGTCTTTCTTGTTCTTTCATTTCTCGTTTTCTTCTGTCTTCCTTTCTGTCCGTCTTCACTGCGTTCAACAATGAAACAACAAACGCTGTTTCAAAATATAATTCTAGTTGTTTTATTGAGGTGAACAGTTTTTGTATTTTTATTTAGTTAATTTAACTGACTACTTTTCCTATGCTGCTGTGTAACGCCCTGTCCACAACATGCCGGAGGAATTTGAAAACCGTGGTTTCACTCTGAAAACGCATCAAATGTTTACCGCCCACACTACGCCGGAGGAATTTAAAAACGCAAAAATCAACGGTCATTTTGGATTTGTGTATGAGAAAAACTCGGTCAGGGAAATCACGTTTATTGTGATGCCAAAAAAGTTCCGTTTTCAAAATGTTTTATGTCCACACTAAAACGAAGAGCCGGCGTTTTCAAATTCCTCCGGCTTGAAGAGTGTTTTCGAAAAGCTGGGTTTTCGTGACGGATTAATGTGGACGGTACGCCTAACCGTAGAAACAAAGCTGCGTTTTCAAATTTCTCCGGCGTAGTGTGGACGCCCCCTTACAAGCGAAGCGAAAGGAAATTGCGAACAGGAAACTAAGAAAACCTAAAATATTCTGGTTATAGTCAAATGACGTCGTCGTGCATTGAAAACTTGTTGAACTTGTTTTCTTTCCCAGAGTCCGCGATCCTACTGATTAGCAGCAAGACATTGAGACTTCTGGGAAAAATCGCAAGGTGAGCGAGCATAGCAGCGGTTACCCTCTCTACGCATGTTCAGAAACCGTCATTGAACTTGAACGCATGCACACAACATGTTTCCCGCGCTTGGCGCCTCGACTTTTAATCGGTTCCTTCCAATATTATTGTGATTGAATACACTACAGTCAACATGTCTTACGTTGTTTATTGAGCATCATCTGCATTCTCTTCTTCATCTTTTCTTGGGTAGACATCTGCGAAAACAAAATAATCAGGCAACTACGACAAGCAGAGAAGTTCACCTTCTTTTGAAAACACAACAACAAAACCTACCTTATCTCTACCCCCTGACGAGGGTGTTGTTTTGTTTTTCAGCAGCCTAAGCGAGGGAAGGTAAAAAACACCAAATTACGTTCGAAACAAAACAATTTCTTTGAATCAATTTTTTTTTAACAGAAAAATGACCACCAAAAACATTGCTTTATTCCACATCAGCTTGCAGCAAGAACTTAAGACTATTACAAAACTGATCTGCGGTCTAGAGAATGAAAGCAGGTTAACGACGAAGTAGTCTGTCCTTAGACCCTCTATTTTGTCTTCGCAAGCAAAAGTATTAACCGCAGGGGATTTGAAAAAACCCGAAGAAACGGGGTTGCTTTGCGACCGCTCTCGAAGAAAAATAAATCGTAGCAAAAGAAAAGCAAACGGCTCAGAAACATGTGATTGTGTTACATATCATCATTTACAACTCTTGTGTGCAACTAACAATTTCCGGACGTAGCATCCCCAAACATTTTTAAAACGCGCAACTCCTGCCGATATATAAGTTTGACAAAAAAGCCCCGACTATCGAAATTTGAAATAAACTTACCCCAGTCCCTTGGTAGGCATCCCCTTTCGCTCCTTTTTGTCGCCATCACGGTCAATGTCACGCTCTCGTCGGTCACGGTCACGGTCACGGTCGTGACTTCGGCTTCTGCTATGACTCCGGTGTCTGTGCCTGTCTCGTCCACGAGCATCGAGACGGTCTCTGTCACGTGATCTACTTCTTTCAAGTGATCTACTTCTTTCACGTGATCGACTTCTCTCACGTGATCGACTTCTCTCGCGTGATCGACTTCTCTCGCGTGACCTACTTTTCTCGCGGGATCTTTCACGCGATCTGCCATGATAACGACGTCGCTCGCGATCGCGTGACCGTGAACGCGTTCTACTTCTGTGTTTCTTGTGTGACTGTGACCTGTCACGCTCCTTCGACTTCTTGCGTTCTGAAGGACTAGTGGTTTTAATTTATACAATATAACACAGTTACGCCACGAGACAGCGAGAGAAATACATTGTAAATTTCAAGTCAGTGCGACATTACGAGCAAAGGTTTTAAACAACAGAGATAATTTTACATACCAAGGTTGGCGTCGGAAGAGAAACCGTTGAAGTGCACAGGAACCCCAGACAGCAAGCGGTTAAAGAAAAGAGAAAAGAACAAAATTAGCTTAAAGCAGACACAGTGACGGAAATCATTCCTTCCGTAATTTTTTTGTCTCAAATGTTCCAAGGAAAAGGAACTGAACATCTCTGATAAAACGGCAAAGCGTGTTGCTATGATTTTTAGCCCGATCGCAGTGCAAGAACTTTTCCCAGTGTCCGTCGGTGGATGCGATCAGGGATATTGTTACTCTCCCTGGGGGTGGGATGTGAGTCAACCCCTGACCCCTCCCTAGCATTCTGTCAAGTTGCCTCTAACAGTTTGCCGGTAGCGATGTGTTCTCCTCAGTGGAGAGAGGCAGTGTAAGAGAATAAAATGTCTTTCAAAGAACACCATTCAATAACCCACGCTGCAAACAAACCGTTAACCGGCTGGCGTCAAATTTGTCAAGCTAAGCCCTAGATCAATCCCATTTATCTCAATTCAAAACTAAATTCTCACGGAAGAGTTATAAAACACATACCAGAAACAACAAGGAGAATTTTAAAGCTCATCATACGACAGAGAATTATCAAGTCAAATGCTCTTCTCATTGCCAACATGCACACACATAAGAACGAAAACTGTTTTTTATCAAGTGAAACATAAGTCTCAATTTTTTTCATCCTTTCACTGTTACGTGAGCTACGGAGAAGTTTTTTTTTTTCCAAATTGCTCAAAATTTTCATTCTAAAATTACTTTCAATTGCCTGCTTTCTAAAAAGCTACCAAAACCTTTTTACAATCAAGTTATCACAGTCGATAAACCGAAAGTGAAAGAAGTCGAAGTGGAAAAGACGGCGCAAACATTGACAACAGTATACCTAGCTAAGGACCACTTTGCATTCTTACAGTCAACTTAATGCTGGAAGCAACGGTTCTAGCAGATAACAAAGTAAAGCAAACCGACCGGGAGGAGGAGGAATGGGTATGAGAGTCACCGCCCGGTGTCTTGGTAGGCTGGTCAACAGATGGATGGCTGAATTCAGTGATAAATTCCACTTTGCCGGCATTTTCTGGGGATTGTGAACGGGATGTTGAGCGGGACGAGGACCTGTAAGAAAGGAAAAGTGTATTTTTTTTAGTTAAAGACAGCAGATAAGACGGGTCCACAGCTGGAGACACTAATTAACCTTAAGTTATTGATTGAAAAGCACCATTTCTTAGTCCCCATCCACACTACATTGAAGGAATTTGAAAACGGAGGTTTCATTCTGAAAACGCATCAAATGTTTCTCGTCCACACTACGCCGGAGGAATTTGAAAACGGAGGTTTCACTCTGAAAACGCATCAAAAGTTTTCTGTCCACACTACGCCGGAGAAATGTGAAAACGTAACAATCACCGGTCATTTTGGATTTGTGTTTGAGGAAAACTCGGGCAGGAAAATCACTTGATTATCGTAAGGTCATCGTTTTCGAAAAGCTCCCTTTTCAAAATGTTTTCCGCTCACACGAAAACGAAAAGCCTGCCAACCGAATTCCTTTGGTTTGAAGAGCGCTTTCAAAAAGCTCCATTTTCGTGACGGATTAGTGTGCACGGTAGGCCTAACCGTAGAAAATAAAGCTGCATTTTCAAATTTCTCCGTCGTAGTGTAGACTGATTTTATTTTTATACAAATGTATGTTACAGCTTTGGGGAATGTTTGTTTTAATTTACCTTCTGTAGGGTTCATAAGTAGGGCTTGCTTTTCTAGCATAGCTGTAGAAAGAAAGAGTGTAAACGAAAAGGAGCAGTGAGCTGTGTTACTTTGGGAGAGCTAGAACAGAAGCAAAATTACAATAAAAACATAAAGAGCAACATCGTTCTAAAAAGAAGAATCAGATTTTAAAATTAAGTAACTAAAGCAAACGAAAGAAAAGCATAGAGACAAAGAGTGGATCTATGGAAGGGTTCGTCATGCACTTTCTTCGGCTTCTTTGCTTTGAAGAGATGGGATGATGGAGAGAAGAAAGGAAGGGGGAAACAAGGGGGGAGGAGTGAAGGGAGGGAGGGTGAGGGCAGAGGACGGAGGGGGAGGGAGGACGATACCTTGGTGGTGACTGTTCGGTGTCATGTAATTTCCTCCTCTGTTTTTCTCGCAGTGAGCGTCTCTCTCGTCTTGCACGCCGACCCTGAAAATTCAATCGTACATAAAATCATCATATTACTATTTGTGATTGCGAGGTTGTGTTTCTTCCATGCCAAACTCAACTAGTTTGTAGTTATATGATTATATTCTTATCAAACACGGTCTGTCTCCAGTCTAAAGTGTGTAACATGTGAAGATTACATGGTAGAAACCTACCACTTACAGCAGATGAAAATAAAGTATGATAAAATTAAAAATAAAGTATGTAGGTACACTGTAGATAAAATTAACTACATGACTACATCAAATGTTTTTCCTTGGCAATATCTCTTCTTGTCGTAAAAGCATTTTTGTATTGTACCGAAGATCTTTGGTGTGTGATCAACTTAAGCACTGTACTTCTTGTATGATGTCAGACAACCGGTCTTTTGCGTTTGACATACAATTTTGAAAACCTTTTTTTGTTGTTCAGAACACATTTTTTAAAGAAACTTACAGTAACAAGAGACCGTTCTTCCTCTTCTTGACGAAGTCTCCTTTGTTCTTCGATCTCTTCTTTATCTTCTTTCAACTTTCTGCATAAAAACACGAAAACCAAATTAAAGTTCAGCAAGTGTTTATGAGTGCTGGATCTTAGAAAAGCAGCCTTGAGAAGGTTCAAACGCTCATTGAAGCCTTTGGTTTCATCTACAGACTCAGGCTCAATAACTTTCATTTGAAAAGTCACACACTAGGGTTTCATCCACAGACTTGAAAGTTAGAAGCATCTTGTACAGCATAATAAACAGTACCACGTGAAAATACTGCTCAACAGCTTTCATTTGAATGGTCACACACTAGGGTTTTGTCCACAAGCATTTTATCCACAAATGTTAGCACCACTGTGTTGATAAAAAATAACATCATAATTATGAAGGTACTGTTAGAACTGACTGGTCAAACAGTGGGATTTCCTCAACACAAAGAATTTGATGAAAAGCTTTGTACCTGATAATAATATTATTAGTACTTCTAAAGTCATACAGACTTTTTAACAAACCTGCAAAACTGTGCTGGAGCCATACCATAATGGAGTCCTTGAGTGTTCAACGTTTCTTGCTGTCAACAAAAGGGAAAGATATTTGTTAGAAGCCTTGAAATCAAAAACTCATAAATTAAAGAATTATTCTTTCATCACTCAATCAGCACTTCATTGTTAAACATCATTAACTGATTGAGGGGTTTTACCTGGTTTTTATCAATTTCGTCAACATCCACTGTGACATCTGTTGAATTAGAAGTTACATACTTTTCTTAGTCAGACTTCAATGTTTAGTTGCTAAATCAGACTGTCATTTCAAATAAGTTCTCAAAACTAAAGTAAATCTATTCCACAACATAAAATCTTTTGATATCTTTCAACTGTGATCAGCACGATGTGGGTGCCCACTTACCTATGTCACTAAGAATGCTGTCACTATCACTGTCGCTGCTGTCATCATCATCATCATCCTTGTCTGAATCACCGACACTTTTGCTGTTGTCATATGTGAAACCTATGGTGGCCTTTGCTTGACTTCTGGAAGTCAATAACAGAATGAAATACTTTCTAGTGTGTGTGATATATCTCTGGCACATTTTACAGTCACTGAATATTTTTGTATTGTGCTATGATCCAATTTTTACCTCAGTGTCTACTTTAAATTTTTTCAGTCCTTAACCATCCTTGTTCCTTTTTAATTATGGTTTATGAAGGTCCCTTTAGTGTTTATCTTTCTTAGTAATTTAAAGGTAATTTTGTACTTGGCCAAAATGACTCAAAATGCTGTGACTGAGCTCCTTTAACACTTTGTGTCGTTATTTAAACTGTTATTAAAACAAAGTGCTTACTTTTCCTTGCTTTTCTTGTCATCATCTTTCTTTACTCCATACATTTCTTCTATTTCTAACTGCCGCAGGTAAGATTCCTCAGTTCCTAAAGAATTTTGTAACATAAAATGACAAACATTGTACATTCATGAAAACTATTCAGACAAGCTACCAAGCGTTGGCCCCATAAATCATATAATTTGTTAGTAAAAACTTGAGATAGCATTCCAACGTTTCCAGTAATCCCAGTTTAAGCAAAGACAAGCACTTCCCCTTCACCCTGGATAGGATGCTAGTCCGTTACAGGGTTATCCCCAGCATTAAATTCACCGGTACCCATTTATACACCTGGGTGGAAAGAGCCACTGTGAGAGTAAAGTGTCTTGCCCAGGGAAAAAAGTAATATAATGATGACCCCACCACAAGCTATTATCCAGGATTTGAAGTAGGCATCTGAAATGTGCTATAGGACCTGCTCAATTGAACAATTTATAACTAAAGGAATATGTACATGAAAAATAAAACGATTTTCTTTAATAAGTGGCCATTAACAGGACACCTGGATGCCCATCTGGCTTAAAGCTTGCCCCACCAGGGCTCAATCCTGGACCCCTTTGTCTTCCCAAAGGTAACCATACCTTCCTCAGTCAAAAAGACCGCATAGTAGTTTTACTGTTATTTGCATTTTGACTCACCCCACGATATTGTAAATATATTCGTAATGATAAATTTAACTTACTCTAAGTAATCGCAAAAACCCACTCAAATGTTTGTTGCTTTATAGTCAACCATCAAGCCCAGATTTCTTGAAATATAAGTTGGACTTTTTCCAATGTAGGTGATGTTTGAACAAACAAACATTTCATACTCAGTTCACACTGAGTCCGCATGAAAACCAGATTTCAAGTTTTCTGACAGTTTGTCTCCTGGCTATTGTTTATTAAATGCCATTATGGCCTATTGATAAGGGCAATAGGAAACTTCTCGACTGACCTCCACTGTAGTCTATCATTACCAATGTTCTGTATCTCTCATAATTTAATCTGTGTTCCTCAGGATCAGTTTCCATCAAAGCTCTGGCAAGAGATGAACATGGTTATTGAAAATTCTTGCATCACTGGTAAGAGTAGTTTTCATTTGAGTGTTGAGTGTTTTTTGGTACACTTACCCTATTGTACTTGATGGAGATTTCTCTGGAATAATATCCAGATGGGCTCTGACATCAAACCTGAAATAAATATAAGATGTCATAATTTTTAACAAATGGGTTAACATTTGTTCATAGTTTAATCAATTAACTTGTTGGCCTTCATTATTTGCTATCTCTTTGGAGAAATGTTGAATTATCACATTTACTTACTAATTGTCAGGTCCATCAAACATATAATTTAATTATTATTTAGTCATTTGCTTAGCAAAAAAGTAATTAAAAGAACAGAAACAATTTACCTGTCAATCATATTGTTTGAATCTCCCTGCCAGGGCATCCTAAAAACATTGAAAAAAACCTAATGGTGAGTGTTCTGGACTCTACAAATAGCTTTTTTTGAGCAGCAACTTTTTCAAGGTTTTCCCGCTTTTCCCTTAGATTAGCCTGAATTTCAGCCGTCTTTAGGGGAGAGACGGCTGAAACTCAGACTGCCCTCAGATCTTAGTGGATCTCTTCACCCTGGAGTATGATATAAATGATTGCTGGCAAACTGTTACTATCATCTGCCAAAATCCTGGAAATCACCTGTGATAGAGTAGCATTGAATCCAAGAGGGAAAGCAGTACTTCTAGTACTTTATGTAAGGATAAGCTTCAGCCAGTTCACTGCTCCCTGCAGTCAAGAATTTATTGAAAATCTGAATGTTTTGATCCATACCAGGGCTAGGGATTGGAGAACTCTGCACAAATCCAACCCAAAATTCCAGTAAGCCCTTAAGCAGGCTGACATTGTACTCACATTACAGATTTTCCATCTCCTGCAGCTGAAAGCTGTGGATCGATGTGAATTTTACATTTCTGTCCATAAATTCTAAGGAATTGAGTAGGATCTAGTCTCTACAAAAAAAATACAAATTAGGGGAAAAGAAACTTGATATTAAATATTTGCAAGACTTAACACTACATATGATTTACAGTTAGGACACTCAAACTGTGAAAACCTGTTAATTTTTTTGTTCATTTTTTTAATGACCATAGAATGCGGGCTCTTCCTTTTAACAAGACTCAGTATTTAGTGTTTTTCACTTTAAAAAGGTTAATATTGCACATTACATGAAGGGCTTTTATTCTATAGTCATCAAATAAAATGTACAAAAAATGTCCAGTGTTCATGGTTAAGTGTCCTTTGTGTCACGACCAATGTAGAAAATTTATTATGAGTTTTGATCAGTGTTTTGTTTGCCACACAAACGAAACGTTGTCACCATAATATTAACACCTGTTGAACATGACCTGTTGTATACTGACAACAGTTATGAGTAAAATGTCAAAATAATGACGCCTAAAGTTAATAAAGCGAACACCATTAAATCAAAAACTACCAGTCATAACCTTCTGCCATAATATTTTAATCTGGTGAAAGTAAACTTATAAATTCGTTTTCTGAGACATGTACTAAGATTTACAAGAAAAGACTTGAGTGTACAATACAGCAACTAAGGCATTGTTTGAGTTTTACGCTTCAGAGTTTACAAATGACTGAAAACTGATTTTTCTTGCTACAATTGCCGCAAATACAGCTTTATTATATGTAGCTTTCCTGTATCTGAGTGTCAAACCAAGCCATTTTTCACATTAGACTGAGCTTGCATAAAGTTAATATCAGTTTTAAACTTACCTCTAATATTATTATTATTGATAATACTTTTATTATTAGAGGTTGGCATGACTAAGATGAAATAACTGACTTACATTTTAGATTACTTACTTACTCGATACTCCTACGTTCTAAAATACAGCATAATAATAAATGTTACTGTGCGACTCTGACATGTGCAAATACCGTTAACTGACTTTTACAAGTTAATTGTCCTGTGACCACTCAGATGTTAGGGAAAAATTAATGCTCGGATTTGGAATATTTGCCGACCAGTTTCCCCTTGCAAGACTGTTATAATCTAGTCACGTGCGTAGTCATGTGGTCAGTAATTGGATATCCTTGTTGTGTATTGTAAGATTGCAGTTTAGTTCTTCATGATTATTAAAAAGCATGCAAATTTTAACTTACGTCACTTCAATTTATTACAAAGACAATATCATTTGCACAGATAATTTAGGTGTTCAAGCATTTGCGATTCACTATTTTAATAAGCAAATTATTTTTGTGGTACAATACTTTTTTGGAATCAAACTGTTTTAGATATAGGAACATTCCATTTTGTACCCCCATCATGTGCTGACATGTTACCCCCTACAAAAATAGGAAGATTCGTCTTCACCCACTCTTGGGCAAGCCACTTTTCCTCCAAACCACTTCACCAAACTTCAGAGGATCAAACAATGGTGACGGTGCAAATCGATCAGAAATGACTTTTACAGCCCCCTTAGAACATTTTTTGTCAAAGGGGTGGAGGTAGGGGTGTGTGGATGTTAAATGGAATGGCCATATAATTTCAAAACATCTGAAAACATGAATCTGATTATAAATGAGCTTTTATGACTTCTACGATAGTGCAAAGAAACTGTTTTGATTTGATTTCAGGATCTGCATGGCTCCTTCACTAGGCTGCTTTGTTACCTTCCTTGCCTCAAAATCCTTGATCTATGATAAAAAATATAAAAATGAAAATGAAATCCAACCATCCTTTCGTAGAACGCCCTTCTCCGTTCCGCTCTCTTACGATAGTCAACCATCATCCCTCTCAACTTCTTCTCTTGCTTTCTCGCCTCGTGCCACATCTTCGATTCTCTTCGAACGTCACCCAGATAACTCTCAAAGCTATGCAGGGTCGTTCTGAAGAACTTTCGCCTTGAGATCTCTCATTTTGTTCCCAAAAAGTAGCTTAAAAAATCAAATGAATTGCTCTTACAACTTGTTTGCGAAGTCTGCGAAGATACGAAGATTATTCTCGTCCCCAGGCCCAGAGCCTATCTCGTTTCTGGAGGCCGTGTCGAGGCCGCGATCCTTTTCCTTTGATCAGCGCAGCTTCTCCCAGGCGCATATTCATGGCGTGTTATGACAACTTGCATACCAGGGATGGGACCGTAAAGTGGTAGCAATGCTTTCAAAACTACCTGTCGCATTCTTTACCAAATTATTTGAAGGCTTAAAACCATTTTTACGAGCAGATTTTCTTTTCCAGAAATTAAAAAATAATGCTATTTACGTCATAAAATTTGGAGAAAACCGTGTATACAAAGTTACTTATTTGAGGGTACCCTGCTGATATGAGCGGCCACAGTGATCACGCATAGCGCGCGTGATCGATCTCGGAGATCACGCGGTCGTCCTTGTGTGATGGCGATTGAGTGCGGGACGACATTGTTTGATGGAAGCTTGGCGTTATAGTGCGTTAAATACGCACTTTCTAAACTTGCAGCAGAAGCTATTGTCAACGATGCAAACTTCAAAGTAAGTGCTCATTTCTAACTCGGAAAGTAGACGAAAAAGCTGAAAAATGGACGCGTAATTTTCTTGGTAGTACTCTCGTTTCTCGGTTTCGCACGACCCCACGTAACGGCTTCTGTTTATTACACGCATAGACACGCTTAGTTGTTTCGGAAGGCACACATAACTTGTAGTTTAAGATAAGTGTATGCTATCTTGCGATTATGTATGTATGAAGATTTTTATTAGTTTCTTTACTTTTGAGACTTTCCGTTGTGGCTAGCCCGTTGCAGTTGCCGTATCGTTCCGCGCTTTTCTCGTTGTAAACACACGCTCAGCCATGTATCGCGAAACCGCGCGCGATTTAGCATGAGTTTTGGGGTCTTCTACCCTTAAACCGTCCCACCTGGTGCCGTGAATTATAGCATAGGCTAGTTTGATAGATGAAGGTTGAAACTATGTAGTGAAAGTGAAATTTGACACTCGCTATCAAAATAGGGATACTGTAAGTTATATCCACCCTCCCAGCACCCCCGCCCACCCCCCACCCCCACCCCCGACACAGCTAAGCAAGGAATACCTGAGCGATTTGCTCTGTCGGCGTCATCTGATCTTCTGAATATTTCTAAGGCAGTTTGGAATGAATTTCACAATAGCACTTTGATCTTTCAGTTTGGTGGGGGGGGGNAGTGGGGTGGATGTATTGGGATGGCACATCAATATTTAGGAAACAGAAAACATGTTCCGTGTTGCTATCAAGTTATAGAGACACAAGTGGAAGTTTGGGAGAATGAGAAATGCCATGGGAACATGAGCTGATAGGTGAGTGTTTCCACAGTTTTTTCAAATTCTCCCAAACTTTCACAGCCTTTGGGCAAGCCAGATAGAAAATTTGTTTGGTTTTGAAACAAGATAAAATGGCTTTAAAGCGTGCAGAACAAGTGCGTCATTTATAGCCATACATCATTCATGCTAATGAAATGTTTTTATCTCTATATCACAGAGCTAAAACTTCAGTTAGTATTGAACCAATGGATGATGATTTCTACAATAACAATATAACCAATACAAAGACTGGTGTTAAGCGAAGAGCGGCAGGTGATCTACAAAGTGGAATATCTGAGGTAAATGTTAAACTTATGATCAGCAGCGGCTGGTCATGTAATAGATAAGCTTAAATTTGAATTTGATGCTGAAGGATTTAGATCATCAAGCTAGTCTGCAAGTTGTGTTGTCAGGAGTTAGGGTCAAGGGATCTTGATTTTGACGATGTCTAATTAGCCAGCCCTCTTCTTAGGGTTCTCTTGAAAATCTGAAGTGGTTGGAGAAAAATTTCAAGTAGCTGGCAACAACAATCTCTTTCCTTGCTGAGCCAACCCCAAAAAATGTATCTGTATTTTCCCTGAGTAGCTGGTGTCCCCAGGTCAAGTAGACGGTGATTTTCGCCGGTCACCAGGGGTTCTGGAGAACCCTGTCTTCTGTATATTAATCCAGGCATGGAATGATAAATAAGCCATGGTTGTCTCAATTGCCCCTGTTCAACCCAACCACCCTCTTTCCCCCCTTCAGAAATCTTTAAAATATTTTAAGCTGTGGAAAGTTTGCATTTATTGTGCTTTCTACTCCAAGCACCAAACTCTGACATGGAAAAATTGAAATGAGTATTAAGCCTTTCCCCTATGCAGTGTCTTCCTCGATTATACAATCATGTAAACTTCATGTGCCCCCATGTGGCCAAAATTTACAAAGGTGGAGAAAAGGTGGCAAAATGCATGTCATCTTTAATATAAAGGGTTTTGTTCTGCAGGAAAATTACATTGTGTCCTCCGGCCAAGAATTAGAAAGAAAGGCTAAATAACTGTTTATTAATGAAGATATTCTTTAACCTCCTTTTCTAAGTTATTTTTGCTGGGGCCTTAACTTACATAAATTCTAAATAAATTAAAAATAAAATTTGTTAAACTATTTTGGACTATAAAAGGTGAAAAAGTGAACCAAGATATATCAAACACAAAAGACTGTGTTTAACCACATTTCTAAACACGGCAATAAGAGTTGCAAATATGACGTGTAGCAGAGTATTTTTTGACGAACTTTGAGGTGTTTGTAAATGTCGTGAAACACTGTCTTGTGTGCTTGATAATAATAATAATATCTTCTCAGCTGAAGCTTAAACTAAACTAAAACTTAACTATGAGCTTGTGTAGGTGAGGTAATAAATTCTGTTGTGATCTTTTCTTAAACCAACTTGTCCTAATACAAACCAATACTTTTTCTTTTTGCTGGCTGGCTTCTTGACAAGTTCTCGCTCTTACAAGATCTTGATTCCTTTTCTGAGATACTGAATATCTCAAGTGGCAGATTTTGTAGAACTTGGCATAACTGGTGGTTAGGCTGTCCACTTATTGAGCTAATAAAATCTTGTACAACTCTTAAAATTGCAGAAGAAACAAGCCATGACCATGATGAACTGAAGTAGATGTCACAGTTTGTATAGCAAACCATGAATCACGAACATTCGGAAACAAAGCATTTTTTAAACTGGACTTAATAACAAAAGCCAATTGTGATGATAAACATGAATTAGATTTGTAAAAACGTGTAAAAGTGTGATTAATGTAAACTTAAGTTAGACAGATCTTTAATATATAAAATGTGTTTATTCAACTGTAAAAAAAATTTAAACTTTTTTGGAAAATCATTATCTAAGATAACATTTTCCTACACAGTTAGTACAAAATGTTATGCATTTAAATTTTTGTACACATCAAAATTAATATTACTGAGTAATGATGATTGAAAACATGTTACAGTCAACCTTGAGTCACTTTGTTGCTCGAAACCCTAAGTTTATATATAGACAAGAAAAAGTCTTTATTTTGAAAAAGTGAGTTTCTTATAATGTACATGTATCTTGAACTTTAAGACGGTTTTTGTAAATTTTATTTTTGTGGACAAACTTGTCAGTGAGATAATATATTAAATTATTTTTCACCATTTGATATTCAAGAGATTTATGAAAGTGCACACAAAGTTGTTGTATTACAGTGAAAGACTCTTTTATAAGTCAATGTAGTAGACACTTTTTTGTACCGATTCCCAAGTTCACTGAGAGTATTATTTTTGCACCTTGAAAAGGAAAAAGAGGACTTAAATTAAAAGGTTATGCCAAGAAAAAGTAGACAGTGTGTTTCTGTTAATTTGTCTTAAGTTTCATTGTTAACTGTAAACCTAGTGTTTTAAAATCAATGAAATGGAAATAAAAATTGAAGCAAAATGAAAACATGTAGTCTCGCAATACATGTGTAAATCAATCTTAAGATGTACCGACTACAGACTGATTAAAGCTCAGAGAAAATTCATAGACAATCAGTGAACAGTATTAATAGTGACCAGAGTTTGTTGCAACTTCCCCCTTTCTACTTATCTCTACAAGCATTGTTTTTGAGCTTGGACTGGGAAATACTTGAAATGTCTTCAGTGATCTTCAGAACATGCTTGGATTTGGGTCATCTGTGAAACATTCCTGGCACAAAACTACTAGCAACTGTGATCTGTAATCTGGTGATGTATAAAAAAAACTTGGTCCTTGTTTTATATTGTTGAGTTGTTCAAGCATTTGGAATTTTCAAGAACACTAACCTTATTTCTTGAGAAGTGCAATCAAGGACTTGGCTGCAGTGCCTGTTGATCCTCTGTACACTTCTCTTACATTCTTAAAATTTCCCACGTGCTGACTATATACATTGTTAATAACTCTGTTACTGTCTATATGAGATCACAACTGGACAGAGCTGCTTTCCGTTGATTTCAGGGTAAGTGTGTAAAAAATGACAGGACACTCCCATGGTCCACGGACTCTTGTTTGAAACTAGATGTGTATACACAGACAGATTCTTCATTTGTTGCAGACAACTACACAAAATCCATGGTAAGGCAAATCGACAGGGACTGGAGAGACCATTTTAAAGTGGGGGGCCTAAAAAATCTGGTCAAGTCAAACAATTACAGTAAAAACCTGCGTATAAGAACCTAAAAGTTAAGAACCACTCTAGGCTAAAATCTCAATACAGGTTCTTATTTTCAAAATATAGAGTTTTTTCAAATATAGCACAGTTCATAACATGTGATACAAAAAAGGTAACAAAAACTAGCCAGAACACTGGCAGTGTAGCCTCTTCCAGGCATTCAGTTAGTTGGGGTGCAGCACGGAAAATAGCGCGCAAAAATACAAAAAAAGCGTGGTGAGAGGAAGCGAAAGAACTGCTGTGGGCAAACTTAACAAAAAGTATATTAGGATCTGGTATACCCTCTGATTGGGCTATTTTGACAAATTTTGTCAGCACTCAAGCATTACTGACACTAATGAGATACTCGATATGGCGGCAGTCAGGGACGTTTCAACGAGTGATGCGGTGTTCAAATCTGTGATAAACAACACGCTCTCCCCTAAGCGTCTCTACGATCATGGTGGTTTGTCTAGCTCACCAGGCCATAATCAAAGACCAAGTTGAACAGTTGAACAAAATTGGAGTTTCAATAAGTATTGGCTTTCTAGGGACAAAGTTTGAACTATTCCATGAACATGTTTCAAAATAAGGTTGACAACTGAAAACCGCAAGCTGGCGGTCATGTTACGGGTCCCTGTAGGCAGTCTATAAGTAGGCGGAAAGACCTTTTGTTAAGTTTGCCCACAGGTGTTCTTTCGCTTCCTCTCGCCGTGCTTTTTTTATTTTTTCACGCAATGTTTTTCGTGCTGCACCCCCACTAAATGAATGCCTGGAAGAGACCACTGGCAGTGTTATAAGGCCACATTACTCTACTGTGAATGATTCAATATAAAGGTCACCCATGAGTACAAGTTGTTTTTTTTTTTGACAAAAGTTTATAACCTGATTAAGAACCTAGGTAGCCTAATTTCACAGTAAACACCATGTATATAAGAACCTATGGAAGCTAACTTGAAAAAACCTAGGTTCTTATACGTGGGTTTTTTCTGTATTTGGGGTCACTGTTCTGACATTTCCAAGTGGTGAAATTCATACATTATCCATGTCCTAAAAATTAACCCAACCAAAGAGTGGAAGAGCTATAGCCCTACCAACTCCTCCCCTTCCACAGTCCCTGCGGTAAATGTACATGTTTCTTTTTAGTACGTATTAGATGACAGATTGTAAAAACAAAAACAAAAAACTTGTTCAAGTGATGTACAGAAGTGGTAGAAATATGGCAGAAAAGGGATGCCAGGGAAGGAATTAACATATATTGTTGGTAAGTTTTCAAAGGAAAAGTGCTGATATTGTTCAGAGTTTTCATTGAATAAAAGTTCAAATCCACACCAACTTGCATAACGCTCCATACAAACTCTTATAGTAAACTTTGGTCACCTGTGCAGGGCAGGCCACTTTCATGAGGGGTGGGGGGAGGGGTTACTCCCATATAAAGATAATGAGGATGCTCATCAGAAATTTTGAAAAGAACCCCTAAAAGGTACCAAGATCTTTTTTTGTGCGCGTGGCTAGAAACTATTTTCACCCTTAAGAAGTACCAATTCTGAGAAATTAATAATCAGTTAATTATCAAATTCTTCTCCTGTCATAGTTTTTTCTGGTTCAGTACCCTAAAAGGTTCAGTGAAAGCTCCCACCATGGACCGTTTGGGGCTGAAAATCCTTAGGGGCCTAAGATATACCAAAAGCACTTTTTAAAATTCCTTAAAGGTACGACAAGCACCCTTATTTTTTTTATATGAGAATTTCCCCTGCACCTCCTAAGCCCAGTAATAACTATTGTAGGCTTTACATCCTAATATCTTTAGCTTTTAAAAAGTGTTACGTTATCAGTGACTGTCATGTCTTTTGCTTTATTAGTGCTATCTCAGTGATATGGTCCAAGCAAACAACAAAAAACTGGAGAATATTGAAAAGTTTCTAGACAACCTTGGTTGCAAGATTGAAAGCTTTCTGGCCAGTGACTTGGGCACACTGACCAAAACAAAAAAGAGGAAAGCAGATGTGGTAAGAGAGATTTCACCCAAGGAAAGATTCAGATGTGTGTGTCCGAGATGATTGTTTCGATCAGTGGAGCTACAGTACACTCCCTGCATAATGCTGGTTTTGTCACTTCAATTAACTTACATTCGTTACTAGCATGCATTTCATTGTGTTACACATTAATTGCAAAAAAATTCCAGACAACTTTATTTTCGGACAAGAAAGTGTCTGAGAATAAAACCATCCGAAATTTTTAAGCGGCCTTGAACACATGTTACACCATAATATGTGTTCAAGGCCAGTACACATGATAGAGCTAGAACTCGGATTAGGATTTGCTCGCTCGTTTTATCACTGGAAAGGAAAATTTTTGTTTCCTAACTTTTATGAAAATATGATGCAGGTAAATTCCATTTTTGGTCTAATTCGAGTTTCCTAGGCGAAAATTTACTTAAGCTTTTTTTCAGCAAACTTTCCGAAATTTTTGTCCGAAATTTGTCCGAAATGAGATAAAAAGTGACCGAAGACGAAACCTCCGAAATAAAATGTCCGAAATTTTAACGTCCAAATTTTTTTGCAAGTAATGTTCGTCATCTTCCCTTGTCTTTAATTTGTCTTGTTTAAGATTTCATTTGCGCACTATATACACACAAAAAAGTTAATTTCCAACAGTAATTTTTGGAAAAACAAATTAGCAAAAAAAAAAAACTGAAAAAGCCGCCATAGCTCTCTGTACGGGTTGCGTGCCTATGGATTTCATGCAACGCAAGGATTATGACCGGTCTTTTCTTATGCTGTGGATCACAAGCCAGTGTGCTTAATTAACATGTGTTCACAACACTGTTCAGTTCAATACTCATGTTACCGTGTTCTTTAACAGATGTCGCTAAGTCACCCAATAACACCTGAGGCAGACAGTGGGATGCCTGTGCCCACAGCCGCCAACAGGTCACCTAACAACGTTGAAGGAAACCCCAGGGATACCAACACACCAGCTCTAGCAGACAGCACTAAGTCTCCTAGTATGTGCTTGTCACCTGGGTTGAGTCCACATGCTTCTCGGACGGAGGGTCCAGTCAGCATGTACAATTCCGTGGGGTGGAGCCAAGGTTTTCAGCAGGGGCTTGATGCCATATCAAGACAAATTCCACAGTCGGGTCAACAAGAGCTGCAACCCAGATTGGGGGCAGCTTTAGGACAGGAAGCCGAATCGGCGTCCAGGTCTGCTACACAAGAAACAAAGCTGGAACCACTGTCCAAGGGTGCAGAAAGAGACGAACTGGAAGGTGACGTGGAGGTGCTTGTTCCAGTTATTGTGTCGTTGGGCGATAAAGAAAGGAGAAGCATTACTACAGAAGTTCAGCTAAAAGATATTCTTAATGGAGCTTCCTGTGCATTGGAAGGTACGAAAAATGGTGATTTCTTTCAAGTAACTCTTGAACAAATACGCAAAATTTTATCTTGCAGATGAATAGCCCAGGTAGACTGTCTCCTGACTGTATGCGCAAAGTTTTTCTCCCGCTTGAGAGGGGACTGAGTTCCATACTGATAACTTAGCTCTCCCAAAATTATTGTTGTCTTTGATTGGTCTTTACTTACACGTGACAAATTCAACACCGGGGATAAGCCAATCAGACGCCCTATACAGCTTGCTGAAGTATTGCATCGTTTGTATGCAATTTTTTAGGGACGCGCGCGGGAATTTCAACACTTAAAGCTTTAGCGATTTATCGGTTAAAATTTCACCCCATTTCTCTGAACTATCAGTGAATTTTGCAGACTTCGAATCTCAGCTATCTGTTTAAAAAAATGCACCATTTATCAGATGATAAGTGTAATTTTGACCCATTCCCAGCTACCTGTTCAAGGAGCTCAGTCACGCACAAAGATACCTTTAAATTACAGGAAACCTCAAAATGGTAGTTTACCAAAGTAAAAAAAAACAAACAAACAAAGAGCAGGAGCCGATTATGGCTTCTGCCAAAGAAATAATAAAAATCCATTTAGGAGCAAGGATGGTTGAGGAAGAAGGAGATTACCACGGATTACAAACGACGAACTTGAGGCTAAACCTTTCAAAATGCGCAAACCGTGATGTAGCTCATTTAACCCTGTCCAGGCCCTGTCAGATATCTCCCGAGTGATGGTAAACGGGGGCTGCGGGGTAAGGAGGGAAAGGGGGAGGGAGAGGAATAAATTTATTGTCACCAAAATCTTTTGACACCACGACCGTCATTTCGTTTCACCTTGTTATCATCGTCTCGGATTCTTTCTTTTTTCTGTCAGGCCTAGAGCACGTGTCTTATTCGCGTGGCAGCTGGCTTGGCGACAAGACCAACCCTCTGTCGCGTGTGTGGTACTGTGGCAATCCTAAGATACTGAGCCGTTCAGAAGCGTCAGGCTCCAATCCCGCCAAACTCTCCCTCAATTTGCTGGAGGCGTTTTTCGTCAGGGAAGAAATGGCAGCGTCCAACATCAATGGAGCGCGTGGGAGAGAACTGCTTGATCCAATCAAAATAAAGGGCATTCAAGGTAAGTTTTATGGTTAGTCACACAAGCGACATAACGGTTAGGTCACGCAACATAATGATATAACTACCAGGTCACGCAAGATAACGGTACAACGACAAGGGCGCGCAAAATTTAATTTTTAGCCACCGGTGAGAACAACACAACATGTGTAACAGTATAAGCAGGAACGGAATGGCCCAGTATAAAGACATCAGTAAAAAAACGATAACTGATTCGTGTTCTTTTTTTCTGATCTCCAGTTCATATAAATTACAAGTTTCCAATCGATCCCGACAAAGAAGAGCTACGTTGGCAGTTTCTAAAACCCCGAATTGACAGCAAATGCCGTGCGCAGCGCCGGCTGCAACGGGAAGCACAAGCGAGACTAGACAGCTCTCCACGCGGGGCGGGGCCCCCGTTACGGACACCACGCTCCCGCATGCCTCGGGTCGACCCCAGGGAGAAAGATCAGTTGTTGTATGGATACAGTAGAACCACTGACCTTGGGCTTACGTCTCCTCGGCCGCAATTAGCCGGGGATGATTGTCAAGAGACTGGGACGGACGTTGGTGAAAAACATTTAAGTGGTGCTATTAGTGGTTTGGACCAATTACAAGCCAATGAAGCTATCGTGGAGGTAGCTGGGATCTCTGTGACTGTAGGTGAAATGACGGGATGATAGCAACAAACGTTCACCATGTTGGAGGACAATTTGTACCAGGAAGGTAAACGAAAGCATTAGCGATAACTAACGGCTTGATCACGCGTATGCAACAAATCAGTGTAAAGCGATCGAGGCGAAAGGAATCAATTTTGAGAAGTTCATAATCGTTCCTATATACAAATGATAGCAAGGCAAGCCTCAAGTGCATTTGTTCAGCTGTGAAAAACAGAACTCGATAAATAACATGAACATGTTGGGAAGTCAAAAGTTACGAAATGATAGCAAGGACGATGATTTGCAGTGTGGAAGAACTTGAGTTCCAGTTAAGAAGTGTTCTGAAATGAAACGTACCGAAGGTTATCTTCGTTGTTTTAGTTTGACGTATTGCCTCTCTCTGCTCATTATTGATCCTAGATACCTTAATTATTCCATGTTAGTTACTGCCTGGCGAGTCCGTCTTTGGAGAATACCGTTGACTAAATAAATTGTTTATCAATTGAGGAGTTAATATAATTTGTGATAATCCTGAATTAGCCTAGAATACTATTTTGGCGGCATGGAGCAGAGGGTTGGGCCGTGGGGCGGGTTCGAGGAGCGCAGTGTATAGTGGGATTAGAGTTTAAAATTAGTTGCCGTGAGACTATTGAAGATCAATGTACAGAGGCTTGATTTCCGCCGCTCAGTCGAGTCCGGTTTCCGTTTCTTCCCGAGAGAGCTCAGGTTCGGAGGAGGAGCGCGGGGTCCTTTCTCGAACAGCGGCAGCGGCTGGTATCTGATCGAGACTCATCGAGCCTAAGATCAATGCAACCCTGGCGAGTTATGAAAAGTCACCAGAAACATGTTTATTCCATAAATTTGACGCTATTTTACTGTCATATTATTTTAACCTCGTTCTAGGGACCTCTTGTCCTGGGAACGAGGCTAAAAAGATGGTGGAAGGAGAGAAATCATTCTTGACGTCACAGTGAGTTTGTGTATACATAATGAGATCAGAACCATTCTCGTGCCCAGAGCCTCCGTTTCTTTTGGTCACATGGTCGGCGAAATGAAGGACGTTTTAAAACGAGTAGCACTGGAGACGAAAATAAATCAGATCTTGTACGCGACTCGAAAATTAATGAGTTACCCCCGACACCAATATCCGGCTTCATTAGCAGCCCTTACTTCCGTTTTAGAGATTTGTCAAAGAATTCTAAAGACACTCAGTCGTGTAAAAAGGTTTAACAAGGTATTGTTAATAAAAAGCGGCATGACTGTGCATATCACGATTGAATAATGGCACTTCGTTTTCCGGTATATTGCTAGCCAACTTAACAATCAGTGCAGGAGTTATTAAACAGTTTTCAATAGGAGCCTGTACGAGATTTAAGCACAGTTAAGCAGTTATCAGGCGGCGAAAAACCGTTTCACTGCTTGCGTGCATTCCTTAGTCCCTCTTGTTCAAACTGCCTAGCAACCAAGAGGCCAGACTACCGGTGGTCAAAATCATAATATCACTTTTGAATTGTTCCGTAAATGTTTGCACAATTTTCGTGCTAACCTCGGCCGAAGGGTCACGGCAAAGATAGCTGCAAATGAGGAAGCTCTTTATCAATTCAGCCAGTTATTAAATTAGTTCGATTACACAGGGAAATTGTAATGTTAAATTGTAATCGGTGCAATTTGTTTGCCGTGCAAATGGCTGTTGCTTGTTGTTTTGTCTTCTTTTTAAAGGCGCATTTTTTTTTTCTTGCAGCTTCGTTTCTCGTGATCCACTACCAGTTGTTTGGTTGTTTTTCAACTCTTTTTATATTAAAACAGTCATTATTTCGGAAACAGGTGGCGGTTTACAAGAAAACAACTCTTTGCCGCTCAACATCATTATACTCGCCACACGCCAAGCGTTCGACGGACTCTTAGAACTAACGGAAAAACTACCAGTTGCAAAAGCGAGTCTTAAATTAACCGCTGCAAGATCGTTACAAACCGAACCCATTTGAAATCACATAAGGGAGCACCACAAGGGTTTTCTTTTCTAATTCCCCTGGGCCCTTTAACATTTCATTAAGTAATTAAATGCTAAGCAGAAATGTCACTGTCGACACAGCGAAATTCCTGAAGGAATTAATTTGCTTTAAAAAGCTAAGCTCAAACAAATAATGGACTCTTATCAAGCCTGATTTTCCCACGCTTTCTGTTTACAGTCTCCTCAATTTGCGCTAAGGATGCACGTGTTTTAGGTACCCCTGCTGACAGCTACACAAGCTTTCGTTCCTGTCCTAACCTCTACCCGCAATCAACCAACACTGGCTTTTAGAAAAACAGGCTGGTTAGGGTTTAATCTGCTTTCGGTTTCTTGGCCCGCTGATATGCATTGCTATACACAGTAGCGCTGTATGCGTCGGTCCTTGTAAACATTCCTTAATGAAGTGCGCATAAGTTTTCGAGTCTCGCCGCGCACAAGACCTGCAGCCAGATGTTTTCGCCCCTAATGTTTCGCGTCCGATAGGAACATAAAATACCTTAACATGGCTTTTTTATTCTCTTTTTTAGTGCGCGTGATTCCCGCTCGCTTTTCGTGTTTTGCTGTTACCTTGACGATTTCAAAAATAGCTTGGTTGTAAATGAATTTTTCACAACTTCAAATGATATCGGACACGAAATATTGTCAAAGTTCCCACGATCCATTGTGCACATACGGCCTTATTACAGCGAACAATGCACCAACGGCGCCTTGTGTTGTTGTTGACGATGTCTTGAACAATAGCAGGAGCAAATTTCACTGCACACCTGTGTTCATAAAAGATATCTAAGTAACGCTTCAGTGCTGTCATTATGTCCAAGTGAAAGATAGTAAGTGACTTTGGCGCCTCGGACAGAATTGTTCATTTGTTATCCATCAAAGCGGAGCGACAACATTTTGACAACTTTAAACGTTCCGTTACTGCGCTTCAGTCAGTTGTGCAAAGAAACGTTCTGGAAGCCAAACGTACGGGAACGCGCGCGTTCAAATGGCTTGGTCTAACAAATTTTTTTATGGGAAGGTCAGCGTTGCGGAAATACTTCAGTGATGTCATCAGCAAACTCATGTTTATAGATAAGTTTGGAGGAGTGACTCAAGATGCAAAGAATACAATGGGCGTAATATCTTCGTTGGCAGAAAACAATAAACAAATCGTGCTATTAAATCTTCGCGTCGGTCCGACCCGGCCAGTACGAGTTTAGCCTCAGCTGTTAACACAACAATATTCTAAGAGCAGAAGTTTTTTACTTTCCTGACGAAAGCGCTAACAAGAAATGGCTATCAAAATGCAAGACAGTGTGAAGTACATCACAGAGATCAATTCCAATGTTGGGGAGCGCATGGACACTGATGGATATGAAAGTTTGGAGCCGGTGGAATGCGCTTTCAAGGCGCTCAGAGAGATCTTACCACAGAACGAAAGCCGTGAGAATCTCTCGGAACTTGAAGTGCTGAAGCTTGCCATGGAGTATATCCACGACCTGGAACAAATTCTACATTTCGAAAGTACCAACAACTTTCAGTGAAGCAGATACGCGAGGGAATCGAGCCTCTAAACAAATTCTTCTTGTGCGCGGAGTTTAGATTTGCCCAACAAACTCAAGAACTTTCTGGAGAGCGCCTTTCTTGATAGAGTTCGTGTTGATACGAACGAAGTTTGTCGACGATGGTTCAGGAATAGTTTACCATTAGGATAAGAACCATCTTGGGATGTCAAGTGCCTCTTTCCGAAGAAAGTGAACAAGTTTAAATACTTTAACACAGTTTTCGAACGTTGCTGTAGCTACTGAATTACTAGAACGAGAATTATATTAATTATTTTAGAACACCTTATGAGAACACTAAAACAATTTTCCCCACATCCACAATTATAGTTATATCCAGTTTTATGGAAGAGCAAGCTAAGACGTTAGAGTTTTATTATATACTGTGTATATTTTTGTAAAGCGTAGCGCAAATCATGTATATATTAGAGCGTGCCCCAGTTACACATGCAGAGAGAGAAATCGTCGCTAGAATTTGTACAGAAAGTTTGAGAATCTCAACATGTTATGTGCATAGATATTTTGATTGAAGTGAAATACAGAAAGATTGAAGTTTTGCTGCAGTTGATTGTGTATCTTTTTGTTTTAATTGTTAATTATTAGACATAAACATTCAGAGTTATTTAACTGAATTGTTGAGAGAAGTAATAGATGCTTTATTTTGAGTAATCCGTGAAAGTCTTTCTGTATTCTATACCAGCGGGACTGAATAACATCCCTGTACCGTAATTCGTTGTTAAGACAAAGACAGTTATGTATCTAAAATCCTTAACGACGCAATTTTGTTGCCTGGGCAAAAACCGAGTACATATTTTTGCTGATTTAGTGAATAGAATTATGCCTTTTTGCGGTCGCTCTGTTTAAAAATAACGTGATCTTTGAAATTTCCCCTGTGCATTTGCATACACTAATTTTTGATTCTATTTAAAAACCTTGTTTTGTAACGGAGAAATGAGTCTAGGCGAAAATGTTGTCACATGTTCGATTGTAACAGGCGTGTTGAATAACATGGTAATTAAGCGCAGCTGGTCCATAAGTGTAGCGAGACGTAAGGCGGGAAAACGGTGCAATCAGAACGCTAATACGCCTGCTGTAAACAAGTCTGTCAAAACGCCATATGGTAACCTCACTTGTCCCTTTAGCTAGAGGAATAATTTATTAGGAAGCGAACACGCTCACGGCGGTCAAGTTCAGCTTACACAAATGAAGGGCGCATTTGAAGTCTTTCAGAAAGCCATATGGTCACATGCTTGTCGGTTATGTCACCGGAATTGTAATTTTTTAATGCCGCCTGTAATTGGGCGTATTGAAGTACCGGAGCCGGATTTGCGGTTTTGGCATATTTCACTGCTATTTTGGCCAACCGCCGAAATGAATTCCAATTTTCAGTGTGTTTTAGATCATCGTAGCTAGATAATAAAACTACTTTTATGTCTAAGTACAATTTCCTTCATTGCAAATATGCTGTGTAGGATTTGAAGCGTATCCAATTCCAAACGCCATTTTTGCCGGATGTCGTCACAGATGAAGTTGTTGCATATTCTGGTCACGATCGTTATGAAACATTTCAAGTTGAGTTAAACTTTTGGACCCTTTTGGAGTTCTGTACGGTCAAATCGATGTGCTTAATTCGTCACAAACTTATTCAGTGTGCATTGTTGATGATTTCATAGCGTCTCTTAATGATAAGTTAAATTCCAGAGTTATTACAGACGGGGCCACGAATCCAGCATGTTCCGACTCGTTAATCTATTCGAACTCGTGCGGCTCCACAACAGCCAGGTGTTTTCCGACGTAAAATAAAAAAAAACCTGCCCTCGCTCCTGTTTCCAAAAATGCATTATTCCATTCTGCAGTGAATTAAAATGTTCCAAATACTGGTGTGACAAGCATGGGCGAAAGAATTGCGGCAATGTTTACACTCGTAGACGTCTTTAGAGGGCACAGGTAGTAATGTGCAGGCTTACATTAGTTTAGATTTGTTTAGTTTCCCACACCACAATTTTCGGAATCTCATGCCGTTGGGAAAGGATACGCAAGTATTTGAGATATGTAAAATAAACATGATTTAACATCACAATTGAAATGAAGAGCGAAGTATTTCGAATCACGCACAAGTTGTAATTGGTACTTTCTTTACGGTCCGTGGATATCGAACAAGGGACATTAATTATTACAATAAGAAATGTACATAATACGCACTAGTTTCTTTCGGTCTCATCTTGACTTGTGTGTAGTTATGGAAGTAAACTTCAGTTAACTTAGACACTGATTTGGTCGGTGAAAGAACTTAAATAAAACTCGAGCGGCAGAAACTACAGAGAAAAAGCGAGGTGATGGGCTAATTTCCTTTTACAGATCTGCGTGTTGCTATTTAAAAAAGTATGTTTTATGCTTTATGTTAAAACAGCGGTCTCAAAACTGGGTCATTTCACAAGTAATAAACGACGGGTTAGACTGGTTAGTAATGAATCAATCTAATTTGTTAATGAAAAGTGGCTGTCATTTACAAGCGATTCAAGATGAGTGATAATAATGACTTAGATTCTAATAGAACTAATCACCTTTACATTGTTAAAGAAAACGTGTTCGTCAATACAAACCAACTGTTAGAAAGCAAATGGTTACACGATTAATGATACACCGTTATCTTCGAAAAGAGCAGGTAGTTTGTAAACAACTGATTTATTTTACGTTATTTTATTTAGTAACAGTCTTCTCCGCGAACATGTTCTCTTTTCTTTTCAATGTTAAAATTCTCATTAAATTTTCTCTAGCTAGCTAGCGGCAAAGGTTCGTGAAATTGCTGTAAGCTGTGCTGTACTAAAGAAAACAATTGCACCTGTTAAAACTTAGATATACAGAGAGAATCTTGGACAGTCAGATGTTTTGCCGAATTGCAGACATTCTTTCACTTGATCACAATGGAATCGGGCCAATGAAATCTTAATAGAACAGCTCGCCCGCGTGGTGTGAGTTCTGGTGGCCATATTCAGTGTTTGCCTTTCTGTGCAGGATTCCACGCCTTACTGTTTTAATTACCCAGGTAACATTCGCAATTCTTTGTTGTACAAGGTTGTAGCACGCTACACGAGGAACTAATTGGTAAAGAAACCTTTTAAAGTTTGAAGTTGAAATCACACAGCACGTGACAAGGTTTCGCTTAGCACGTGGCATATCCGGAACGACATCTGACCTACGTTACTTCACAGCAGTGTTACATCTCAAGTGCTTTATAATTGGTAATTGAGAACTTTATGACGCCTTTCTGTCGAGTTCCCAAATCTGTCAACCAATCGAAGAACAAACAACCACACGTGCAACTTTTTGACATCTTTTTGTTGGTTTTCCAAGCTTCTTAGCCAATCAGGGAGTGAAGCCCCGCATACTCAACTTTTCGAACGTCTATACGTCTATATGGTTTACAAATGCCTCTCGGCCATGCAATTAAGAGCAAACAACCGCATGCACATCTTTTTACATCTTTTTGTTGGTTTTCCAAGCTTCTCAGCTGATCAAAGAGTGAAAATCCGCATGTGCAACTTTTTGGGCACTTTTTTATGGTTTGCAAACCTCTCGGCCAATTAATAGCAAAAAACTGCAAGTCGGCAATTTTTTGGCATACTTTGCTCAATTTTCTTTGTAGACTAAATTCTCAGTCAAAAAGAAAAGTAAATGAACACGCTCTGATGTTTTGATACAGAATGAGATGGTTTCATTTCATGACCAGCGTAAAGAATGAGAAACGATATCCTTACAAGAGGGTATTTCATTTCAGTAGTAATACTGACTACGCCGGAGGAATTTGAAAAAGGAGCTTTATTTCTCCGGTTAGGCTTACCGTCCATACCAATCCGTCACCAAAACGGAGCTTTTCGAAACTCTATTGAAACCGGACGAATTTGAAAACGCCGGCTTTACGTTTTGGTGTGGACGGAAAACAAAGCTTTTCGAAAACGATGACCTTACGATAATCACGTGATTTCCCTGCCTGTTTCACTCAAACACAAATGCAAAATGACCGGTGATTGTTGCGTTTTCAAATTCCTCCCGCGAAGTGTGGACGCTGCTTCAGTGAGGAAATTTTTTCAACAACATTTGAGTCATCATGAGCGCTTCAGTCTCCGAGTTACAAAAATATCATCTTCGAATAATTGAAAGGACCTAGCCTGGCGCGATTAACTGCCCCAAGAAAAGTGAGACCAAAAAACTCAAAATTTTACAAATGTTCCCATGAACGCTTCTGCCACCCAAACATTTTGCAGCTTTTGAAAGCCACTATCTTTAAATAACTTAAAATGTCTGGAATCATTGTTTATCTGACATGAAAATATTTCTCTAACCAAAGTCGTGTCATACGAGATAAAACGTGAGCGATGACGTCAGCAGATCTACAAACGTTATTTCTTTTTCTTCGCGAGGGCGAGCAATGCGAGCGCGCGTGGACGAGCGTGGATCGCGTGGAATGTCTTTCCACAGGGCCTCCCCGTTGCTTTCGGCCTTCTTTTAATCCCCTGCTGCGATTAATACTTTTGCTTGCGATCTCGACGAATTCACGACAAAATATAGAGGGTCTAGTGGTTAGTGATTCTTTCGAATTCTTCACCCAGGGGCTGGTCAAACGTGGTATAAAAGCGGCCCTCACTTTGAAAATTGCCCTGTTTTTAACACCGCTGATGTTTGGAACCGGCTGTCAGCAAATCAAGAAAGAAGTTAAAAGGAAGACGAGGCGCCGGCGATGGTTGTGGCTTGTCGTAGAAAAGAGAAAACGTATCCATGGCCGATAGAGGCCTGTAAACTACTGTTCCTATGGAGAGGAAACTGGACACGATTGTTTGTAACGCCTGGGGGTTTTCTTCTGCAATAGATCCCGGGCATAGATACAAGAAACTCCTCTTATGTAATACCTGTGATTTCTGCACTATTTTCGAGCATCTAACAATGCCAGAAGGACCAGAACTATACAAAAACAGCCAATTCGTTAACAGGGTTTGCAAAGGACTCATTTTCAGCGGAAAGATCGTGAAATCAGCTGTAAGCGTCAAGAATCCCGATGTTGAGTTTCCCGCGTGTGATTATTCCATTCACTCTGAATCAAGAGGGAAAGAAATGGCGCTTATTTTAACGTCACTGAACTCGGACAGCAAAGGAAAGAAAATCAAAAAGGAGAATGGCAGTGAATGTGAACAGAAAAGGATAAGGATTCTCTTTCGATTTGGAATGTCTGGAAAGTTTACATTTGGCCCGATCAAAGACTTGCATAAGCATGCTCATTTGAACTTTTACACAAAGGAGAAGCCAGTGATGGTGTTGAGTTTTGTGGACGTTAGAAGGTTTGTCTACCTTACAGTCATTTTTTATCAATGTTATGTTTTGTTAATTAGTAGTGATGTCTTTCATTTGGATGGTGACACATTGTCATTAAGGTGGGCAAACACGAGGGGACCAGTCCCCGTGACTAGTCCCCGCAACTAGTCCCCTGAAGAGTTTACACGAAGGGACTGGCCGCTATGGCAAGCCGTTTGTAGCAAAATTCAATCCTTGCAATATATGTTGAATCCTTTAAATAATGGTTTTATTTAAACATATAAAAAGGCATTCAATCCAATGGCAAATAAAATGTTTGGTTCAATTCAATCTTTTAATTTTCATGATTCAATCCAATACCTGGAATATTGATTCAATCCAATACCTGAAATATTGATTCAATCCAATACCTGGAATATTGATTCAATCCAATTCCTCGAATATTGATTCAATCCAATACCTCGAATATTGATGCAATCCAATATCTCGAATATTGATTCAATCCAATACCTCGAATAATGATTCAATCCAATACCTCGAGTATTGATGCAATCCACCTTGAATATTGATGCAATCTTCCTGGGCCAAGCGTGGCCAACAAGAACGAGAGTAACTGAGCGCTAGAGAGCACTGAAAACATGGCGGGCGAAGGAGAACTAGATTCAGAAGTCGAGTTTCCTAAGTTTCTTGCAGACGTCTTGGATAAAACGGAAATAATTTTTGAGAATTTTGACTCAGAAGTTGCAGTTGCAGTTGCAGTCGCAGTTGCAGTTCCCAAAAATTCAAACTGGTTTGAATTTGTGGGACTAGTCACAGGGACCAAAGTTGGTCCCTGTGACTAGATTTTGAAGCAAAAATGGCCAGTTCACACGATGGGACTTGTCCCCGCGACTTGTCGCAGGGGCTAGTCCCCTTGTGTGTGCTGACCTTTAAGGTATCAACTTCAAACTTATTACTCGATCAAAACCACATAAATATATTGGAAGTCTAAACAGTAGCCTCAGGTCAAAGACAGTCAGTGTAAAACGCAGACTGTGGACTGCAAACTGCAGACCGGTATAAAAATGCAGACTGCAGACTTTGTAAGTGTGTCATGTTACCATTTCCATCATTGAGAGCTAACAGTAAACAGGCTAACCAGAGTGTTATTCAGGCTAACCTGAGTGATATTCAGTCTAACCAGAGTGATATTCAGGCTAACCGAAAGTGCAGCCTTTCACTACGATTAGCCTGAATAACCCTGCTTATGGTTAGCAGGCATTAATGGAAAAACATGATATACACTTAAAAAGTCTGCAGTCTGCAGTCCACAGTCTGCATTTTACACTGATCGGGTCAAAGTCAACTCTAAGTGAAAGGTAAGGTTATTGATTTTTTCTTTCATATTGTTCAGATTTGGTCGATGGGAGTTGACAGATATGTGGTCTAAAGACCGAGCACCTGATCCAATGTTTGAGTATGAGGAATTCAGATCAAACATTCTTGATAATCTTGGGGACAGGATATTTGACAAACCTCTTTGCGAAGTTATGCACAACCAGAAGTACTTTAATGGAATAGGAAACTACCTCAGAGCTGAGATAATATTCAGGTTAGTACCCAATTAAACTCATCGCCAGGAGGGAGGCGAGGGAGCAAAAGCAAGCTGCAAGCATGAATGGCTCACAAAGTAAACTGCATACTTGTACGCAGCTAGCAAGCAAAACACGTAAGCCTTGGAAACCCCATATGAGATCCCACAGAGCATGGCTGCCCTAAAAGGCTGCTGACCAGCATTGGCTCAAGTCAAACTTTGCCTAAATTACATTTAGCCACACTAAACTACATTCCCTCGCTTTAGCTTCAAGGCTTATTTCAAGTTTGAGCTTTCCCTTGTCAAATTCCACCATTAAACAAACTTTATGTTTAATATATAATTTTAATGTTTGACAAGAAACCTGAAGGACATCCACTTTCTCTTGCGTGATATCCTTTCTGAGTGTGCTTTCTTTGTTCCATTCAACCAGGGAGGTGGAGGGAGGCAGAAGGCTTTTTGACAAGAGTTGCCTGAGTGATACAGTAATAGCTTTTAACTAGTTAACACTTTGTTTATTATCAAATACTGCACTATAGGTGCCTTTTGATTGGGCTTTGTTCTTAACTTTATTCCTTTCCTTTCCTTTCCTTTCCTTGCTTTGTTTTTTTTTTATCCCTGGAGTTACCTTAATCTACAAAGTATTATTATTTTAACTTCTGAACTTTTAAAACATTTTTCCTCAGAGCTGGAATTCCCCCTTTTACTTGTGCCCGATCTGTGTTTGAAAAACTGAAAATTAAACAGGAGGAAGGCATTACCAAGGTAGTCACATGTATTTGTTCACATTTAGACCGACAAATCTGTTTGTTATTACAACAAACTCAAGGCCCATAGGTTTGGGTTTGAGTATTGACTGTGGTCATTGTGTTATGTTCTTGGGTAAAACACTTTACTCAACTTGTACATGTACATGTAGTATCTCCCTCCACCCTGGAGAGTATATTAAATTGGTACTGTTAATTATTCAGGCAATCTGATCTGACACAATTCTGTAGGATAATAAACTAGTGGTGGATTGACATGTCACTCATCCAGGAAAATTCCCAGTTGCTCCCAGTTGCTAGCTTCATGCTGTAGAAACTGGAATAAAGTGTCAGTGCTCCCTTAAATGTAGAAACTGGAATGAAGTGTCAGTGCTCCCTTAAATATAGAAATTGGAATAAAGTGTGAGTGCTCCCTTAAATGTAGAAACTTGAATTAAGTGTCAGTGCTCCCTTAAATGTAGAAATTGGAATAAGGGTCAGTGCTCCCTTAAGTGTAGAAACTGGAATTAAGTGTCAGTACTCTCTTAAGTATTAAGTTAACAGAATTATTAAACTAAATAAATCAGAATAATTTATGTTAAGGACACTCAAATCAAGTACATCTGACATTTTTGGCATGTTTTTTGGTGATTATCCAATGAGAGGTCTTCATGCAAGTATATGTAGGCAGTAAAAACTATTAGAATTATTAATATAGTATTATTAAATTAAGGTGATATCTATCTCAATGCAAAACTGTTTAGTACAAATAAATAACTATTAATTACCCAACCAAGAATATTGTTACATGTAAACTTGTGTTTACTTAATATTTTTTTTGCTAGATGTCAAAAGAAAAGAAATGCAAACTTGAACATCCTGACATCCTTGAGCTTTGTAATGTTGTCCCCAAAGAAGTGATAAATCTGCGTGAGTTTATTATTGGTTTATGTTCATGTCTTGTCCTTGACTGATTCTAAACCTGATGGCAAATTACTTGAGAGTCACCATGCACAAAATCATGAGACAGTGGAATACCAAGTTTTCAAACCCTTGATTTTTCTAATCAAAAGTCANCCCCCCCCCTAGTAGCTAGGATGCTGTAATTTTGCTCCTGATTTCTCAAACTGGCTTTTTCAAACCTACAAGTATTTTTGTTTCTCTTGGAGGTTGAAAAATTGATTTTCCACTGTAGTGTCATAAAACCAAATCAAGCACAATAAATTATATACCCAGTAACATAACAGAGTAAATCAGTTGTTGAAATTAGCATGAAAATTCAAGTTGTTATTGGGATATGGGTTTTCTTGATCCCATTTCTTCTTAGTTATATAATCCAAAGGCAAGTCTTGTAAAATGACAACATTTTAGCCAACTAAAGTAGTATGGGTCACTCTTCACTCTCAGTAGATGAAGCTTTTGGAACGATTCCAAAATATTTGGTTCCTCTTGGGGATAAAGCTGAACTACATTTGAACCCTGCTATCTTGAACTCTTGCGGAAACAAAAAAAATTGAAATAGTTTGAAATAGCTGGTTGTAAATGACTGAAAAAGCATATCAAAGGGGAAATGATTTGAGGTCGAGATAGCAGATTTTCACACAAAAGTTTGAGACAGTACAGGGCTCGGAAAATGTGCCAATGATCCGTCCTGGTGCCGTCCTGCTGGGCAATTAAATTTTAATTCTCACTTGCCTGCTGGGCAAGGAATTAGGCAAGCTGTCTGCCAAATAAATCATTAAAAGCACAAGACTTGTGCAGGACAAGCAAACATTGAGAAGCTACTTGCGCTAAGGGCAAGCTGGAATTCAAGTTTTTTTCAAGCCCTGCAGTAGGGTTCAACTGTAGCCTATACCACAAAAAATGAATTCTGGATTGTATTGTTAACACCCACATGCATTATTCACTTTATTTTTCTTAGCTGGCAAAGGCTATGATCCAGCAGGAAATCACCCTGATTACTCAGCATTCTGTGATTGGCTTCAGTGTTACTATAACCCTGAAATGAGGAACATTGTGGATCATGATGGAAGAACCATGTGGTTTAAGGTAGCTTAAAATATCAACTTGTTATTTGAAAATGTCATTGTGTTATTTGAGATCATTTCTCTGAAGTACAAATTTACATGTACTTTCAAACTGAAGTAAACTTGAATATTTTAGGGTTAGCTCATTCGAGCAATGGCCTGTCACCATGCCTACTTGTAAAATATGTTGCAAACTGTATTTTCAAAAAATTGGGCTGAATTTTATCCGTGAGTACACACATGTTTCTTAGAAACTTTGGTCAAACCAGGCCATCAATGACTAGTAGCATGTAAATTAGATCCTTTAGGGAAAAAAAAACATTGAAAGAAGAATTATTGAGTAAACCAAAACTTAACAACAAAATATAGATAAAAAAAATTATGACCTACAAACTTGAACAAATTGGCTATTCTTTTAAACATGGGCCACGGTGTAGTATCTTTGATAGTGAAGGTCTCCTCCGTATATTGAACATTAAGTGGCAGAAGTTGAAAAATAGATTTTGGTCAAAAATAAACAACTTTATTTAGCAGCTACAGTGTTTACATTTGTCTCAATCAGTTGTAACTTAATAAATATTATTTTTCTGTCAGGGTGAGGCTGGTCCAATGGTTCCTAAAGGCAAGTGGGCAGGCAGCAAAAATGCAGCTAAACACATTTTGTTAAAGATAATGTTAAAATGTTATAAAATTAGGGCTGGTTTTCTACTGGTTGAAATATTAAATTTAAGAATTGTCTTTATAAAATAACTGAGCTATTATGTGCGCTCTCATTGGTCGATAGGTGTGTTTAGACAAGATTATGTAAACACGGTTATGACGTTTTAGCTTCTTGCTTATTTCTGAGAATTATTTTATGACAGCAATAATTATTGAGCACTTTTTCCGTGTTTTCATAGCCTCATCTAAATACTCAAAGGGTTTTGGAGAATTCTCAAATTCTCCCAACCCTCCTTGTGTTTAGATGAGGCTATGTAAACACAGTAAAAGTTCACTATTGCTTAAATGGTGTTAGGATTACCGGTATATAAACAATAATAATTATTATTCTTTATCTTTTAGAAGCAAAATCTAGAGGTATGCAAAAATCTAGAAAGAGAAAGCAAGGAAAAGAAACAAACACAGAAGTTAATGGACAGGTCGAAATCAAAATGGTAGGCTAACATGTTGACGTGTGCATTAAAAGTCAAAAGTCATTTTCATTTGAATATTAAGAAATAATTTTTAAACATTTATTATTTCTCAGAAACCGTCTCCTCCTAAGAAGACTAAAACAAAAGCACGACCAAAAGTGACAAATAAAACAGGTTAGTTTAATTGTACTCTTATACAGTTTTATTTTGTCCATCTCAGAATTTACTCACTCTTAACCTNTTGTCCATCTCAGAATTTACTCGCTCTTAACCTTGTTCCCCTAGTAGACATAAACTCTACATTGACAAATGAAAACTGTAAATTCTATCTACATGTAGAATCTGATAGAACATTTCTGTGGGTTTTATCATTCATGCCACATTAATTTTCATGGTGATCTTTTGAAAGGAAGTGGCTTGTTCTCATACGTTGAACAGTGATAAAAACAATGATACAATAATATAGTTATAAAGTAGTCATAAAAAGGTTGAAATGTTGAAGAAACATTTCCATGATTTAAATTATTATTGTAAGTTTCTCTTTCTTGCAGAAGCCAAATCTGGAAGGATGCAAAAATCTAGAAAACAAAAACCAGAAAAAGAAAAGAAAGAGGTTAATGGATATGTAGAAGTCAAAATGGTAGGTTAAAATAGTTGGATTGCATGCATTTGATATGCATTTTCAATTAAAAGTCTTATCAAGTAATTTAATTTAGAAGTTATTCTCAGATTCTATTGCCGATATATTATTTCACAAACAGGAACCTTCTCCTCCAAAGAAGACTAAAACAAAAGCAAAACCAAAAGTGACAAATAAATCAGGTTGGTCTTCTTCTCTTTTACAGTTTTATTTTTTCCATCTCAAAATTTACTCACCTTGTACATGCATTTGTGCATTTGGGTATTCAAGTGCATGATCAATGTATGTAGCATACATGTATTACACATGCTTTACACACATGCTACAATCCCTTTGACCTGTACTGTAGATTTGCCATGACAGCATTCATTCTCACTTTACCCAGCCCTGTAAATGGGCAAGTATTTGAAAGAGCAAGCATACAGACAAGAGTAATTTATTCATTTGCCTTTTGCACAGTAAAGCCTTTAAAGCATGGTTAGTAGGTCTTGGTGCTTTTCTTTTGTTTCTGTAGCAAGAAGTGGCTAGAGGTATTTTTACTCCTCCCTGGATGGGATTTGTCAGTTTATCCCAACAATTTGCCTGTACCCATTTATACTCCAGGATGGATAGAGGCACTGTGAGAGTAGTGTGTTGTCCACAGACAAGTTACTGTAAGCCCACCAGGTCTCAAATCTGAACTCCGGCGCATAACCATTTTGCAACAGTGCTCTTTACAGTGACTTAATATTCACCTGAAATATTCTTGGTCGCAGAACCCAAAGTGAGAACTCAGTGGCCTGGCCAAAATGTAGTGAACCAATTTTTTGCCTTCTTTCCCTCTCTATAGAAGTCAGCAAGAAGAAAGTTGTTCAGAAACAAAGCAGAGTCAAAACACCCAAAGTGAAGGTAACTGACTTAAATCCTCTAGACAACACAATGAGCTTGTCATGTCATTTCTCCTTTAAAAAATGACAAGATGTCAACTAAACAAGTGATGAGACTATAAGGAAATCTTCAACACAGGGAATTAGAACTTATTATCTTCTTGTACAATTTTAACAACATGCTCAAGTTACCTTTTCCTCATAATTCAGAGTACGTTTTGCACCATCACACCACCTTGTACTCTTTGTGCCAAGCTGTCAGGCTAATATTTTGAGATATTTTGTTGCAGTCTGATCGCCAAATATACAAGTTTCCTCCTATCCACACACTTTTTGGGCTTGTCATGCAATCTTTCCTTATCTCTGTATGTCACGCAAACTCTCCTCCCACGTTTATGTCATGCAATATTTCTTTCCCAATGTGCATGTATGTCACGCAATCTTTCCTCCCCTCGTGGAAAGGAAAGATTTTTATGACAAGCCTTAAGGGGTCTGTGGTACCTAATGTCCATTTGAGAGGCCCTTGGCTGGTGTTAGGGTGAGGTTGAAAAAGTCCAATGATATTTCATTTTTTTGCTTATGTTATTGGTGTGTTTCTTTCATTCAGCAGAATGCACCTGTCAGGAGAAGTCTACGTATTAAAAAAGAGAGTGACAAGTAGATATGGAACAGTCTGTTTAACTATATGTAACTTTTAACTATAACATATATAATAGTGTGTTTTTAAACTTCTAGAGTGACACAATGTTACAATTCATAGTCTGGGACGGATCTATGGGGGTT